GGGCCTCGGGCTCGGGCGTGACGAGGCGGGAGAGGAACTGGCAGCCCGCGAGGTGGACGTCGAAGTTGGACGGGAACCTCCGGAGGGCCTCCACGACGGCGTCGAGGCTCCCCGCGCAGTAGATCTGGTAGCGGACGGACCGGTTGGTGGTGCCCCCGGACGGCCCGGCGCCGGGGCGTTCGTGTTCGTTTTCGCGTTCGCTTTCGCTGTCGTCCATGGAGGTGCTGCTCCCCGCACCGGCGCAGCCCGGATCCGTCGAGAGGAGCTCCCGGAGGATCTGGCAGCACCGAACGACCACCGGGGCGAGGCGTTCCTCGCGGTCGCGGAGGGAATCCTTTGTGCGGTAGTTGTTGTTGTGGTTGTAGCCATCGCCGAAGCCATCGCCGTAGCTCTGGCCCCAGCCCTCGTCCATGGCATCGGGACCGGCCACCCGCCCGTGTCCTTCGCCTTCCCGGATCCCCCGGAGGCTCTCGGTGCAGCCGTCGAGGAGGTCCGTGAGCATCCAGTGGCCCCCGGCCCCCAGGAGCTCGAGGCGGTGCTTGTTCCTCGAGGAGGCGTCCTTGTTKTTCCGGGCCGCCACCTTGTGCCAGAGCCGGTCCAGGCCCCCCACCACGGTTCCGAACGGGCGTTGCTGACGATTGTGTTGCTGTTGATACTGTTGCTGCTGATACTCTTGCTGCTGWTMCTSTTGCTGTTCTTGCCCGTCCGGCTCGTCGGCGGAAAAGTAGCCGTAGCTTCCGCCGTTCCGGGCCCGGGAGAGGCAGGACCGGAGGATCCCCTGGACGGTGTCGTCGAAGCTTTCGTCCTCGTCGTAGGATTCCGTGGCCATCGCCGAAACGGACGAGGACGACAGGGAGGAGGACGAGCGGGAGGGGAATCCGAGGCTTGGGTGGCACCCCTCGTGCTCGAACCCGTGCTCGAATCCGTGCTCGAACCCGTGCYCGAGCCCACCCATTTCCGCCAGGCCCTTTGCCATTCGCCGCCGCTTCGACGGGCGGCTCGTGGCTCCAACCTCGATCCTCCAGAGGTGGCTGTCGTCGTCGGGTCCCCGGTAGTTGGATGGCATGATGGTTGGCTGACTGACTGGCTGGTTTTGCTTGCTGTGGGCGGTGTGCCTTTGTGGTGTTTTGTGGTGTGGTCGAATCCGGGCTGGACTGGACTGGACTGGACTGGTCTTGTGCGAAGTCGCAAGTGCGTACCGTACGGTAACTCGTACGGTCGATTCGGTTTGATGGGTTGCCGTTGTGAGACCGCAAAATCGGCGTTTTTGTTTTTTCTTCTCTGGTTTTGAAAGAACAAGACCCTCGCTGTTTCCGAGTTTGCTGGAATAGGTTAGGTACGAGAACCGTACGAACCCGTGCCGTACTATCGTTCTGCGCGCAGCGTCGATCAAAGCGAAAAAAAGAAAGATCACTCGGATCGATCCTCGCTCTCGAGCCTCGGAATCGGTATGAGCGGTACAAGTACTCGTACCACCAAGTACCAGATCGTACCGCACGCATCGCATCGCATCGCATCAATCAAGAAGCGGATTTTGGAACCACTGGATCGGAAACGGTCGGACGTACCGTACAATTACGGGTTGTGCGATACGATCACCGGCGACGACGATTTTGATTGGTGGATCCACAACCCGCAGGTCGGCGCGATCCTCCGTGTTGCGCGGTATCGCCCGGCTCCGTGCTCGCACACGCGCGGGACACACGCCACCACGCGCGGAACACAACAGACGGCGGACAAACCAAACGAAAGGGGGGGGAAGGAACGCCGGCAATTGCAAACGGGGGATGGATCGATGGATGGATCCATTCGTTCAGGGATGATTCCGGCATTCCATGCCATGCCATGCATTCCTTTCTTTTTTGGGAGGCAACCGATCGGATCGGAAGCCGAGCGAGCCACGAACCAAGATGATCCGCGACTCAAACGACGTCCAGCACGGCATTACGAATTTCGTACATGCCGGTACCGTAGGTACGTACTGGTACCAGCACTTGTCTTGTGGCTCCAAGAAATACCTTTGGGTACAGGTACGAGTTAGTTGCGCTTCATTGGTACTATCGTAGTAGCAAGTACCGTTCTGCACTTAGTAGTAGCCRTACTCGTACTACTGCCGTTCTCTACATACGGTACGAGTAGCGTACAACGTGAAAACAAAAATGATGCTACCGTTGGAGCTAGCTGTCAGCAGTAGGAAACAACGTATCCGTACCTACCGTAGTACGAGTACTCGTACCAGTACTCGTASCCAAACCTCGCTTCGGTCCGGGGCCGGCGGCASGAAAAAGAGACAAAAGGACACWTCCGCATGCCAAAAAAGAAACTGGAATCGAAACCGAGAGACACTCTACCGACCGAAAGCTTCTCACTGCGGCATTGCGGTGCCGTTCTCTCCCTCAATTTCTGCAACAGCAACAGCAACAGCAACCGACACAACACCAGCATCCTCGGCCTTTGCAGWCTGGACGACGGACACGACAGCATCAACGGCAATCACAACAACAGCAACAATGGCCAAGGGAAACGACGGATCGGCGGCCCGCCGCCGGACCACGAAGAAGCTCCTCGCCGCGGCGGCCTGCGCCCTGGCGATCGTGGCAACCGTCGCCTTCTTCGGAAGCCCCCCGGCGGGCCAAGAAAGGGTAGAAATCGGCTACCACGGGCACGAAGGGGAGCGGGGCCTCGATTCCTACGAGGGAGGAAACCCGCGCCGCCGGAAGCACCACAAGCACCACAAGGCCGGTAACCACAACAACAACCATAAAAATAACTACTACGACAACAACAACCGTAACAACAACAACAACCACAACAACAACGGCGAGCGGAGGCACAAGCACCACAAGGGGGAAAAGATCACGGCCTCGGACTACCACCGGGCGGAGATCGGGAGGAGGAACGCGGAAGGCGCCACGGACCGGAGGCACCAAGGCCGCCACGGATTTGGCGGCATCGACGACGACCTGCATGCCCGGATGGCCAAGCGGTTCCGGCCCMGSGGCGAACGAGAACCCGGAAACTTRGACGACGGGAGCGAGAGCGGCAGCGGAGACGCCGCAAGGGCCATCACACCGGGCAGCGACGACCACGGCCTCGCGGGCTTTCGGGCCTGGAAGGCCGACCGACCGGGCGAACCAAGCGAAAGCGAAAGCCAGAGCGGAGACGACCGMCCTTACCCGCCGCCCGCCCTCCTGGCCAGGATCCGCCGGGAGCTGATCGAGGAATCGGGAGAGGGGGCAACCCGCGGGGGGGACGTCCTGGACGCGGTCCTGGCCGGGTCGACCCACCTGGTCTCGATCGGTGCAAACTCCCGCCTGGGGACCTCGCGGGACGGCTCCTACCAGGGGGTCACCGGAAGGTTCTGCAGGCTGGACTTTGGCCTGCACAAGAAGGACCCCTCCAAGTGTACGTAACGCAACCCAACGCAACGTAGCAGAGCAGAGGAGCGCAGCGCACAGCAGAGAAGCGCAGCACAGCGCGGTACGGTGCAGTGCGGTCCAGTGCATCGTGCTCTGCCTGCCTCGTGGTTGGTTCGCTCGTTCCGGTGCGAAAGGATGCCACGCAGGTTGCCCAAGGGCGCTGCTCGATCGAATCGAACGGATCGGCCAACCCTCGTCTCATTCGTTTGCTTTTCCTTTCGCTCTTTCTCGTTTCGTTTCATTTCCTTTCGTTGTGTTTCGCTCCATTGCTTGTGGTTTGTCTTGATCTCGGTGCCTTGCTCCGGACAGACCCCATGTTCCGCTTCCTCCTGCAGGGCTCCCCCGACTGCGCGAACGAGAACCAGGTGTCCTTCGACCTGAGAAAGCTCGCCGTGTTGGCGCGGCACGCCGACCGGGCCGCTTCCGAGCGCGACGGGGAGGCCCACGCCCTCCCCAGGGCCCTCAACCTCACSGCGGTGGCCTTCCACGAGAGCCGCTGCGGGTCCACCCTGGTGGCCAACAGCATGATCGCCATGGACCCGGAWAAGCACCGCGCCTACAGCGAGTCCTCCCCGCCCGTCGCCGCCCTTCACATCTGTGGGGACTACTTCCACCGGTGCACCAGGGAACAGGCCGCCTCCGTTCTGAGGGACACGATCTACCTCATGAGCCGGACGGACGATCCATTGGAGGAACGGGTYTTTTTCAAGTTCCAGAGCATCACCTCCAAGGCGATCCCGACCTTCCAGATGGCCTTTCCAGAGGTCCCCTGGATGTACGTCTACCGGGATCCCGTCCAGGTCATGATGAGCCACGTCAAGGACGATCCCTCGCTGGTGAGTCGAACCGAATCGAATCRAGYCGAGTCGATCCCTTTGGCGCAGGGCTGTTTTCCGGTTTCAAGGAGKTTGCGATGCGATCCGATGCGACYACGGTCGCCCTGCCCACCTGCCTTGCACGCCAAAGCGTCCTGGTGTCGCGTGGAATCTTTCTCACCTTCCTTTGTTGTTCCGCTCTTGTTTGCGTTCGTTCGTCTCGTGCCATTCCGTGCCGCGCCGCGCAGAAGCGTGCCATTTGCACGAAAACCAGGGGGAAACCCCCCAGGGAGCTCGTGGCCATCGCCAGGCGCCACGGACGRCGCGGCGCCGACGACCTGGAACCGAGCGAGTACTGCGCGGCCCACCTGGCACAGCTCACCGAAGCGGCCGTGGAGAACCTCAACGACATGGCCATTCCCGTGCCCTACGATCGCCTGCCGGACATGATGTGGGAGACCATCATGCCCAAGATTTTCGGTCGACCCCTGGAGCAATTCGAAATCGACAACCTCAAAGAGATTTCCAAGTCCTACAGCAAGCAGGGAAAGGGCAAGAACAAGGACAAGCAGGGCGAATTCAAGGGAGACTCGGAGCAAAAGGAGRMAAAGGCCTCCGATGCGATCCGCAATGCCGCCAAGGAATTCTTGAAGGAATCCTTCGATCAGCTGGGGGCCTTCCGGTCCAGGGTCTTGGAGTAGGGCAAGCCATCGATCGACCGATGGATCGATCGGGCACCGGCACCGTTCCGGTGCCGCGCACCACGAGAGCACCACCGCCCGCGAGACCGCGTTCGGCCGGCACGGGAACCGCGTGTGCGGCCCGCGGGTGTTTGCACTGCACGGGGGGGCGTGCATGCCCTTTCGTTTCGCTGCCGCGGGCGCTGYGGTTGGTTTTTGGATGCTATGCTTCGCGGCACCCGGTTTGGAACCGCACGGAGCTGCGTCCTTTGGCACGGACGTTCCACCCATCTCGGTGAATGCTTGGCATCGATGGACAAAACCGAGGAGACCAGATTATAGACGGGGCTAGAAATAGCGTGAAGTTGCTAAGAAATAACTTGTGTTGTTGTATCACCCGATGTTGCGCTACTCGAGAGCACCAGGTACAAAGTTGCTACAATAGTTGTAGTTGTAGTGTTCGCATGAACCGATCGTAACAGTATTGATACAGTATCTGCAAGGAAGTTTTATTGTGTTGTCTGCACGGCTACGATTACCGAACGTGCAATTCAAAAGAAGGGTTGATGATTACGTACGGTACAGTACGTAGTATCGTTCCATACCATTTAATAGAAAGGACGTAAAAAATGGCGCGAAACATACTGCTCTATGGTGTGGTAGGTAAATACGAAAAAAAACATACAGAAAAATGGAGCCTTTTCAAAATGTTCCGCATACATTGCTGCGATAACGAACCGAACCGGTCAGATACGGCAGGGGTATTCAGACGACAAGATACTCTTCCAAAACCCGACACGTACGATATCGGTACAATACCACTACGTACRTAATAGAAAAGGCCTTTATTTTTCGCTTTTCACGTCCCGGCAGAACAGAACACTTTGTCATCGATTGGACGAACACGATGTCGAACAACTCGATGAAGGAAGGGAAACGGCAGCTATCCGCATATGAACAACGTAGAATCGATAACATCAAACGAAACAATGCTCGTTTGAGAGCACTTGGGTTGATTAGCTCGGTTGAAGAGCGGCGTTCCAATGCAATTGCCTCCGGAACGAGTTCAAACATCGTCTCTGGGAAAGATAGCTGTCGCGATCCCCTGGAAGATTCCGATGGAGAGAGTTCCGACGACGGGGAGTGGCAATGCGAAAACAACGGGGGAAAGAAGCGGCGGAAACGGAAAGTCGCCCCGAAGGAACCGCGGGAGGGCTCTAGAAAATCTCGACGATTGAACGGCGAACAGGCCGAGTTTGCCCCCGACGCCGAGGAATTGCTGTTCTCGAAGGATCCCACAGTTCGAAAAAAGGAACTGGAAGAGCGTGTCAAGGAATGCAGAGAGGTACGATTGCGGGCCGCTAACGCGATTGCTGCCTGTGGAGGAGAGAAGGCGGCAAAAACGAATCCCACGGCAACCTACGAGCATTGTCTTATGAGGGTGAAAACGATGACAGAAAAGGGCCTCGTGAATCGAGTAAAAGCAATTGAACGAGCGGCAGGAAAACACTGCGTAGTAAAAATGGCAATTTTTAAGAGCTGTCTACAGGACGAAGGCAGGTGGAAACTAGCCGAGGTCGCGAGTGATGCTCTAGAAAGGTTGAAAGCTCTCAAGCCGATTCCAGAAGAATGATTTTTTGCTGGATGAATTACTTTGAAAACATCAACGTTAGACGAAAGAACGATACAATTYGGGGGATTCTTCGATAATTTGCGGTGAGCTTTATCTTCAGCAAAACTCCCCGTTCTCCATCGCATAGTACACCCACTGAAGCAGAATTCAGACCTCAGTTTGCAGTTGCTKCAAGAGTGTCGATGAMACCGAAAGTAAACACTGAGGTAATGCATCTTCTATCGGTTGATTTCCAATATACGACTCTACTTGTTTCATCAAATTATGTTGAGTTTTATAGKTTCTTTCCATACCATATTAATTGTTCATTCTAAAGCGATCACTTGGCCCTTTGGTGATCAATGCAAAAGATTCCCTAGGTGTCAAGAAGAGCCAACGATTTTTTTCTCTTTTCATAGTTTTTGCCCCGATATCAACTATCATTTAGCTTACCTTCATTTTGTGTTCTAAATCTCCACCTGTTTGGCAGCTTCGAGATGGCTTGGATCTTTTGCATTTCCTGCATCCAGTTTCGTGGGGTCTTCTAGCTCTCCTTCGACGCCATTTGTAACGACAGCATCGGTCGCACCTGTCACCATCACTTTCCCATCCACAGCCACAGTTGTTGCGTCGGGAGGCTTTTCGTCAACGACGGGAGTTGCGGTCACGCCGGCTGTTTGCTCCGCTTTGACTTCTTGCTTCTGCACAGTAGCTTCCGSGCTGTTACTGTTTTTCTTCGCCGATACCGCTAGCGGCTTGGAGTTTCTACGTGCCCTAGCGGGAGTGGGTGAACTCCACTTGAATCCTAATTCGTCCAGAAGCTTGAATCGCTCAGGCGTCATGCGCGATTTCTTCCCTTCCTTGCTAAGGTTTGCYTGCTCCAAACGCTGGTTTCGAACCCAATTGGCCAGCTCCCAATCCTTATCGTATCCCTTGGGTACTCGGCAGTGACTGAACTCCTTCTTGAACTACATTTGTTTGGATGGTGATGTAGATTATGKTTGRYATCGATATTCATTCATATCGATGGAAGACGAAGCCCATAGAAAAGGCATGCSAAAAAGAAAGTTAGTTATGGTACGTGTCTCAAGATTTCATRGAGCCCTTAGATTCGTTTGTTTAACATCATCTGCCACAGTGAAACATACCTCCTTTAGTTTTGCAAACATTTTTTCCCATTGAGCTTTTTGAGGGTCCCATTCAAACCCGATGGCGTTCAACCGAGCAATTCGCTCCTCTGTTATCTTTGCACTTCCCTTCTGCTGAAAAATCCAGTACTCCACTCTTTGGTAGTGTACCCACCGTCCTAGCCTGTGCATGTTTTTGTGAGAAATAACGAATCAAATTGAGAAGGTTACAAAATACAAAAAGCTCAAGTCGAAAATTCCGTAAAACTTTATTACATRTACGTTCACTTACCGTGGATCCGCGGTGTAACACTGTGGAACCAATGTGTGCTTTTTTGTTTCTTTAAACTCAATTAGTTTTTGAAACATGGAATACCACTTTTCGTCGTGCTTGGAAAGAACGCCTTGGTTCGGTGGTGACGGAGATGCGATCGCCACGGTGGATGATGGTTCTGCAGCACCTGAAGCATGAGAGGCTGATCCGATAGCAGGCGCTGTGGCATATGTCACTACTGCTGGTGTTCCAGCGGTATCAACATTACTGCTAGCAGCTCCAGAAACATCTGTGGAAGGGGTAGCCAATTCCTTCTCGTCCAGTTTAGGAATTTTGCGGGTGGGAGTCCTACCAACTCGACGGACACGTTTTTTGTTCTCTTTGACGGGGATTTCGCTTTCTGTGGGTGCGACTTCCACCTCCTTTTGCGTCGCGGTAGCCACAATCGCTGGCTCGCTCGCCTGTTCTATTGACACCCCCTCCATTGGCTCGCTATCTGCCACAATCGTGCTGTCTTCTTTTCCACCTGCTGCTGAAGCAACAASAACAACATCCACATGGTCTTCRTTACTACTGTTTTTCACTTCGGTTGAAGGGTTGGTATCGGATTCTGTTGATACAGGCGGTATATTTGCAGCATCCTTTTTGATCGCGTCTGGGGCTGCATTTGCTACTTCTACAGTATCTGGAGCATTCGATACCTCAGCTAGAGTTGCAGMATCTTCCGGTCCTTTCTTTGCCTCGGGCTCGTCTGGGGTTTCGCCCTCTTCCGGGTTTTCGACCGGTTGTTCCTCTGTGGAATCTCCAGCTTTATCTGTATTAAGTTCATTCGCTACATGGTTGGCTGCCTCGTTGGATACTTCGTTGGTTGTCTCGTCGGTTCTCTCATTCGAAGTCTCGTTAGGCGCATCGGCGGCGGTGCCYGCTTCYGGGTCCTSTTCCATTTTGGTAATGGGATCCTCTGCATTCAAATTGACATTGCTCGTTGCAGTGTCTTCGGTATCCATAATGACATCACTCATATGGGATTTACCTCCTCTCCAAAGTCTGATATTATTTGGATTTGCCTTGTTTAGTCTCTATTACGAATTGCAATACTGAAGAAGACTTTTTCAGCTTCTTGAAACACATGCTTTTGTTTCAGGCTCCMTGCCTTAGTACCGTACAGTACAATACCGTAGATTCTGGTAATGAAGGACCAGATATTTTATTGAGAGGACTGAAGGGTCATAAATTTTTGTCAAATATTTTCAGCTGCGCGATAGTACGAGTATTCAAAATACTGGAAATGAAATCTGAGGCTCCCTCCATGGATCGAGTGATGAAAACAATTATGCTGTCGAAATTCGAAAAATGGTCTGTCCGCTGACAGTACAAGCATCAACTCTGTGAAACGGCGTACATACGTACGGTACCTGTACTACTCGTACCACGTGATGGAAGTTACTAGATTTACCGTTACGCTGTAACAACTTCGACCGCATTCAACTCATATGCCCTTGTGAGGATAAATCACGAGTAGTCAGTGAATGAGCCTCCCACTCAATCTTAGTGAGCAGCAATGAACTCACTCTTTATTGTAAACACGTAGTTATCCAACTATAGTATCGTCCTGAACCCACGCGCTTCCTCCCGTTTGAATTCGTTTGTCACGAAAGACAAATCTGCTCTAATATGGTAACTGGTACCGTTCTACGCAACCAAGGTCAACTTCATCCTTGCTACCCATACTATTCGAACATTTGGTCAAGATAAGACTGAAGATGGTATTTGACAAGGTKAACCAGCAKCATATCCAATAGAATTTGAAATCGTTAACTAGAAGGAAGAGTTTAAAAATTGTGTTTTAGTAACCTAGATTGTAGTAGTAGTGCAAAATATCATAAGTTCCTTTGCGTTTGTTCCTCCCTCCATCCCCTTCACACAATACGGTACATGCCGACACCGATCATCGTGCCTATTGCATACCCTACAACGCCCCAAACGGTGGCCGAGATTGTTCGACCTTGGAGTTTTCCAGGATCTCTCTTCTTCATTTGGCCACAAAACGCCGCGGCAGTCGCTGGGCCTCCGATGGCCGCGTTAGAGGCGATCCAGACATCTTCGAGGTCCAGCGACGGCGGCGAGCTATCGCTCTTTTGGTCTCGACGAAAACGGGCATCGATCGCMAAAATGATTTTCTTCCACAGAATGCAACCAATCACCGTCCCGAATACGTGCACCGTGAGCGCAATGGCCGAAAATAGGAGACACGCCGGGCCCATGGACAGAGCGGATGATAGATTAGCGGCGACTCCGATGGAAGCAAAAAAGGACAAGAAGAAAAAGTCGCTCCACACTGAGGCCGCCTTGGAAAAGGGYGTCCAAAACTCTTTTGCTTGGACCAGCGAGTTTAGAAGAGGTGCCACAACGGCAATCACGGCGCACGCAGTTCCCGGGACAAAGTCACCCAAAAAATCCTCGATGCGATTTGCGATTTGGACTATAAACATTGTTGCCATCAGCAGCGGAACGGAAGCGAGGTATACGGAGTCCCTCCAGTTTGAAGGAAAGGTTGAACCCGACGACGGCGATGATGGCACGTTTTTATCTGTGASTTTCGACGCTTGTTGTCGCTGTTGTGTCACGCTGGCATTTTCAAGTGCGTCGCTCTGTCCCACCCCTTGGTCAGTGGTCGGCGAGAGTTCTRCCGGCGCACGGGAAAACATCCCTACCAGCCAGTCCCACTCTAAACTAGAGGACAGGAATGAAAAATATATCGCCATGGTAAATAGATCCGCAGTCACCAGGGATCCAAGCAGTTCTGCCGGAGCACCGATCAATCGCGCCGTGGAAACGAAGTTGACGGATCCTCCCACGTAAGAGGCCGACATGCACCCMGTTGTGATTCTGGCCAATTCGCTTGCGGCTTTTCCTGCGCCACTGGAGGCACCYGCACACTCTCGAAACCATCGGAAGGCCAGGGCACACCGATAACTCAGCCAGCATCCCACCAAAGATGACAGGGAGGTAATCAAAAAGGGCATTGCAATGCGACGTATGCATGCTGCAATTGAGTGTTGGGAAGGACCTGTTGTTGTTCTTGAAACCCCCTTCTCTGCGGTAKTACCATTGGATTTGTCATCCAAGAGTTGTTTCGGAGGCTGATAAGCCAAGAGCAGCAGCGTTAACGAACCAGGCAAAAAAAGTGTAAAGCACAAGTCGTAGAGTGGATGCTGGTTGGGGATCCATTTCGTCAAGATGTTTCCGAAAAACGCCGCCGAGAGCAAGGTTCCAAGAATACCCCCACTAGGAAACCATCGAGACACTTGCATGCCAAAGAGAGACGATCCGACCAGCGCCAACGACGCTCCAGCAGTCGGGTGGAGCATGAGTTGTGTAGTTGAAGTTCCAGCCGCYACTGTCCTTCCTGTTGGTTGGTGGCTAGAGATTCTCTTCCTTTTTCTATTTACGATGTCTCTAATTGTTTGAAGCTCRCTAKAAGGTCCAAAAATTGTTGCTTGATATGACGTGCATGGATTACAAACGATGTTTTTGTTGAATTTCGTAGCAGCTGTGCGTCCTTGTCGATAGGCATGRCCAACAAATGCCGAACAGGACGAAATTAGAGGTTGCACCAACACCAGACCGAGGAATACGATGSCCATTCGACACAATAGCAATCGATGACACAGCATGTTTGCTGCTTGCGGGGAACAAACTGCCTATGCCAAATCTCTACACAATTTTTTCGGCGACARTGATGGCGGTCTTGGGTGGTTGCGATATCAAATTTTTCTACCCCAAGATGATTTGAAAAATTGATTGCTTTTGGTATGTCTTTTCAGATTCACTTCTGATTTTCTTATAGTGGGGCCTTCGACTTTGGCGTATCTTTGAAGAGACCACCCTTGGTACTGTTGTATCCCATGTCAAGCCCGATGATGGTTCCAGGTTCCAATGGGTGTTCGGAAGAGATTGTTTAGAGATCGGTGATCACTGCAAATCAGATAGTGATTGGATTTGAAAAAATATTCATCGACTCACTGGACCACATCATATTAGCATCGCGCCATATTTTTCCCGCGAAATGTCGCTTGCTTTCGGTCGCGCCAAGTACCATGCGTACCGTACCGTAGATTATATACGATAGAGTATTAGATTACGAAACTTCCATCGAGCAATGCTGTTTTCTGTGCCGTAGCTGAAGTGTTCGCGAGATAGCGGTAAGGAGTACGAACCGTAAGTTCTGGTCCCCTTTCAAACGAGCGTCTTACGTTACGGTATTCGTACCACAAGCACCTCGTTCCACCATTTTTTCATCCAAACACGAAAAGAGATAMACGAAGCAATTTGGCGGCACTGGAATCGAACAGGAACCGAAACCGAAACCGAAACAATGCTGTCTTACGAGCTGCTCCAAGCCCTACTCTCTCCAGACGCGGGGATCCGCGAACAAGCGGAGACTGTCTATCGGTCGATGAGTGTCCGAGAACGCGTCCARTCCTTGACAAATCTGCTGCTGGCGTGCACGAATAGTRCGGATAGCGATAGCATCGCTGTCGCTCTGTTGGGAGCGGTCTTGTTGCGAAGAGACATTCTGAAATTGACGGATCCGTCGATGCTAAACGAATTGGTCGCTCCTCTCCTGCAGTGCTATTCGAATACGAAGACGGCGACGACGGCGAATGCGTCGAACACAAAGGTTGCCCTTGGCCACTGTCTCGCGGAAATCTGCTCTAGCCTTTCTGTTATTGAATCAGGRTCTGCCTCGACGTCGGAGCCATCCAGCGTGGATTCAATCATCTCGAAGCTTGTTGCGACCGTTGGTGCCAGCGATGTCTCGGCAGGATCCGAATCAGAGACAGTATGCTTCTTGAAACTCCTCGCCGCCCTTGCGGATCGAGCACCCATGCCGTTTGCCCGGGTGGGGATTCCATCGTTATCGGGGATTGTAAACACCTGCCTTCAAAATATGAGCACTAATTCTGCCATGGATACCACCAAYCTGTGGACAAAACTTGTGGAAGTGGTAGTCAACGGAGCCGTTGCGACAASCGTCACCGAAGTGTCACCGATTCATGGAGCGGCGGCTGCCATCAAGGATCTYGACGAGGTTCTGGTCGACGARCAYTCTGCAGCGGCGCAAATGGGATTCCATCTTTTGCTGCCGATTCTGAGAAAAATCAACGAAAGCGGAGCCGCAATGACAAACAGGGTATCCCTCGAACTGCTCCAGTGCCTGACGCATGCTTCTGTGACTTGTCCATCTCTGTTTTGCGGAGGTGGACCATSCCTCRAGGTCTTGACAGCTCTCGTAAAAATGTGTCTCGATCTAAGCTGCACTACAGCAAACGATGAAAAYYACCAAGATATTGCTCTTGCAGCTCTCCAGGTATTGGCGTCACTTGTTTCGGTAGGCGACGTTCGCCACMGGGTGATTTCTCCTGCTATGGCACAGAGCCTGGCAGAAAAGGTCGTCCCGGCTTGTGCCCAGCTGATGGCCCGGGCGGGAGCCGGGGACGAGGATGCCCAAGACTGGATTTCGGAACCAGCCACCCTGGTAGAAGACGGCGTAGATGACGAGGGCGAAAGCAGCGAGGACTCTGCCTTTGCCGAAGCCCTTGTAGAATCMTTTTTCCAATACCTTGCWGCTCCGGCTCTTGCTGTAGCCATGCCCATCGTGCGGCAGTTTCTAGATCCTGCGACCGCCAACGCTAATTGGAAGCACGTTCGAGCGGGTCTGGCCATTCTGGAGTCTGGACTGGTGGCTGCTCCGTTTGCGCTGGCGCCAAACGTTCCCGAGATTCTTGCGTCGGCGGCCAACATACTTGGAGGATCTTCCGGAGCAGCAAGCGAACACCAGCACCCTCGGGTTCGGTACCAAGCCCTCCGATTGCTGGGAACCATTTGCGAGACACACCCAGAAGTGCGAAGTAACCACGGCCAGATCATTCTGGAGCGAACGGCCGTCGCCCTGGGATCGAACGTGAGCAAGTTGTCGGCGCTTGGGTCCCAGGTGATMTCGTCGTATTGCCGAGGYAGTGAAGATCTTGCGACGGAGGACGAAGAAGAAATGAAGGAGCATTGCCTTGTTCCCTTCCTTCCCGATCTTTTGAAGGCCTTGATTTGCGGTCCATTGAGTAATAGTGGCTTCGACACTGGTTCGGTAACCGTTCGTGTCCGTGCGATGAACGCGACGGCATGCCTGGCGGAAGCTTGTGAAGAAGCTTTCCAACCCTACTACGCTCACGTAATGCCGGGCCTCTTGGAGAGTGTAAAATTGCCCCAGGTAGATGTCGCATCTGCTGCACTACAGTGCCTAACTATTCTGGGACAAGCAGTTGGAAAAGAGATGTTTCAACACGACGCAGAACAGGTCCTTTCTTGGATTGTTCCAGTGCTTCCAAACCATGTAAATAGCGAGACATCGTCSTCCTCCTCCTCCTTTGCTAACGAGGAACTCCTGTCGGCATGTGCTCGAATTGCCTCCGTGCTAGAAGAGGATTTTGTACCTTACGTCGATGCGGTCCTTCCCTCGCTCTATCAGTTGGCAAAAGCACCCGCCGACATCTCGATCGAGGAAGGAAACGAAAGTGGATGGCAGGGCGACAATAATGGTTTCAGCGGCATTGATGACGATGGCACTATGACGGTCGCAATTCCTGGTCGTGGATTCCAGAGAATCACCATCAACACGTCGGCCATTCTAGAAAAGGCGACGAACAATCGCATCATGTTTGAACTTACCAAGGCCCTCGGAGCGGCTTTCGGTCCGCGAGTACGAGAATCGATTGACACCTTTCTTCCGTTGACAAAATTTTCGTATTCCCCGGAAGTTCGCAGCACAGCTGCTCAGGCGTTATCTGCACTCTTCGACTCCGCATGCACATACGGTCAAGATGTTGGAGACATGTCTGTGCCTCAACACTACCTGCCTTTACTTTCCGATACCATTTCAGAACAGATTGCCAACGAAGATCCATCGGATGTTGAAGCTCTTTACGCACTGGCTGATTCATTAAGTGAAATTTACTACATCGCGTACGGATTCAAAGATGATGGGCTTGACGAAACAATTTTCCAAAATCTCTCTATGCCAATGAGAGTGGAAGTTGTCAAACGTTGCATGACGACGATGTCTTCCTGTTTGGAACGCCGTGATGGAATTGCTAGAATTCTGCAGGGAAATCTTTCCGGAGCGGATGAGCAAGAAGACTACGCGTCACAGTTACGAGGCGAAGATAGTCTACTGACACCCCTCGTCGATTCTATTGGATACCTCCTGAAGTTCTCAAAAACTGAATTTGTTCCCGTGTTTGAGACATACGTAGTTCCCAAGCTTGGAAAGTACCTATCCTCGACATCTGATATTCGTGCGAGTGTGGCTGCTATGTGTCTCTTTGACGATGTTGTTGAACACTGTGGACCAGAGGCGGCTGCAACATACTCTCCAGCCCTCTTGAAAGCCGCGACAATGGTAATGAGCGAACCTTCGAAATATGATAGGGATTTGRTCCAAGCAGCTGTGTACGGCATTGCTCAAATGTCACGCTATGCTCCTAGCAGTACCATCTCATCAAGTATGCAAACAATTGTTCATCAGCTGATGACAATCACGCAAGGAAACAAAGAAAATGCGGGCGATGGTGTGTACTTRTACGAGATTGCTGTATCTGCATTGGCGTCCCTAGTCTTGTTTGGGCCCTTTAAAGATCTCAAATTTKTCAACCGCAATGCAGTCACCGAARTATTTTTGAAAAGTCTTCCACTAGAACAGGATGAGGATGAAGCGAAAATATGCCACGCAGGACTGTGCAGTCTCGTTGAAAATGGACAAATCGATCTTCGAGCAAATGCACCAACAATCATTCGCATTGYAGGATCCATCCTCTCCGATGTTCAGGAGGGAATTGACATTGCTGCAGCTGACACATGCGAGAGGTTGGTGAAGATCCTATACGATATTCAAAGTCAAAATTCGGAGGTCATGCAGAAAACGTTTGTTGCACTAGATCCTGGCGTCCAAAACATCATCAGTTACGCCGTGCAGGACTTTTCTCAGAGTCGCGCAAGTGTTGTAACTCCTTGAAAATGAAGTTGCATTCTTTGTTGTACATTTGATGTCTTGTCAGAGGAGCGATTTGATAATGCCTGGTGGTGCTTTCTACTTGAGAATCTCATTTGTTAATGTTCTCAACCTGGTTCAAAGATGGTAGATGCAAAACAAAAAGGAGGTTGGATACCGATCATTTGTAATACATATCCTATTCCTGCCCTAAACGAAGGTAATGAACACTAATGCAATGTTGTAATAGAACAATCTACGTGTAGGTCATAGCCCGAAAAATTTGTTACAATGCGATGTTCGGGCGTTRGTCAGAATCAACCTTTTCTGTATCTGTGCCACACTGTAGCGAATGAATGTATTGTCTCGAAGCAGCAATGAAAAACTCTTGGGAACAATATTCTATTGCCCTTGGATTCGTATGCAACGCAGTCTGCACTATAGTAGATTCTCCCTTTAGCCTATTGCATGCATGTTGCAAGATATAGGCATACTGTGATACTGCAGAAATTACAATTTTTTCATCGTCCTTTAGTCTGTYGGATGCATATTTCAATGCCAGCCCATTCTGAGCTACTGCAGCAGTCACCAATCTCTGATTGTTCTTCAGTTCCTCGGATGCATAGGTCAAAGCAAGTCCGTCCTGTGTCACTGCAGCAGTCATCATCCGCTCATTGTTCTTCATCATTTCAGATGCAAATCGAACTGAAAGACCATTTTGCGTTATTGCTGCATTGATTACCTGCTCATTGTTCTTCATTTTACTGGATGCGTATTCTAATGCCCATCCATTCTGCGTTACCGCAGTAGTCACCACCCGCTCATTGTTCTTCATATTCTGAGATGCAAATCGCAAAGCACATCCAGCCTTTCTTACAGCAGCAGTTACTACTTCTTCATTGTTYTGAAGTTGACTAGATGCGCAAGCCAACGCCCAACCAGACTCCGTTACCGCAGTTATCGCTAGCGGCTGATAGTTCTGTAGTCTCGTGGATGCATAACTCAATGCCCATCCATTCTGTGCTACCGCTATTTTCACCACGCGTTCCGTGTCCCGCAGTCTTTCCGATGCATACTGTAACGCTTTTCCATTTTGTGCCACTGCTATGGTCACCACGTGCTCTTTATCCTTTATTTCATCGGATGCATCTTGCAACGCCACACCACTCTGTGTTACTGCAGCAGTCACCCCTCGTTCGTCAGTTAAGTTTGAAATACTGATATTCATTGTGCACCGCAGAGGTGAAGATGATTTCCATGTCTGGTGGAGAAGAGGTCGTACCAGAATGGTTTCTACAAAACACCGTCGTTCGGAATACAGTAKTAGTAATTGATCCAAGACTTTTGTTCGATCTACACAACAGTGAAGAATAGATTCGCTGTTAAAACTAATCAAAAGAGAAACTCCTTAACTTTGTCGCACCACYATAGGCCTTGGAGGCTTGCTCAGTACAGCAGTGATATTGAGTTTGCTACAATTCGTCGACGAGAGGTAGTAGTTGAGGGGAAGAGCATTGGTAATAATTGATGATATTTGATTGATGATATTTGAATGATGGAGATGTCAACAGAAATATTTTTTAGAAAAATCCATTCGTGATTAAGATTTCGTATGAGATTCGTTCGGTTACTTATTCCAGTTAGTCGAAGTTTTCTGCATGAACGGTTCAGTAAGTTCGATAGCTTATTCACTATCTACTCGTGATTTAGGCTAACACCGGTAGGGAAAAGAAAACGTTAACAGAGGCTGGAAAGAAGAATTTTTTAACAGATCGGAAGCAATCACAACAATCCGTTGAACTCATCAGTATTGTACGGTATGGCTCGTTGTCAAAGTAATTATTTTGTATAATGCATAGTTCGGTTGCAAAGAAAAGTCAGAAACGAGGAAGCACATCGCTRGCCTTTGGACTTAACAACCGGAAAGGAAGTAARAAGTCCACCATAAAGAATGTGTTTGGCGACGATGATGAGAGTAGTGACAGCAGTGATGATATCAATGAAAATAAGAGTAAATCTCGGCGAGAAGTTGTCAACGAGCAAATATCCAAAGAACAAGCAGTCCGTCGACGTCGGGCACAAGCCGCTTTAGCATCTGYGAAAGATAACAGTGCGTACGATTACGATGGAGCGTACGATTCATTCCAGACAACCAATACAAAATTGATGAATGATGGAGGAAACGAGAAAGAGACTGGAAGGAAAAGCAAGTATATTGGCGACTTGATGAAGGCAGCCAAAATTCGAGAAAGAGAACGCGATGCCATCTTTGAACGAAAAAATGCTTTGGAACAAGCCGAAGAGGATGCACAAGGTGATTATCTAGGGAAGGAAAAGTTTGTTACCAACTCGTACAAGCGAAAATTGCAAGAGCGCAAACTATGGGAAGCAGAACAGGAAGAAAGAAATCGKGAAGAGATCGCCAACGATGTCACGAAGAAATCTGCTGGTACGGCCTTCGCAGGTTTTTATGGAAATCTAACTCGAAGTACAATGATGGAGCAAACCTGCGATGATGAAGAGAACACTGTAATTGATGGGGGAAATGCGAGTCGAAGTAGCGAGGTCGRCAATGGACGTAGTGACGCTATTGACGACGATAACTTTGATCCGAGACAAGACTTTCTGGGTGGATTCGAACGCTCTTCAGYTTCAGGTGGTAATGTAGATGTGGATATTAAAGATCAACCCCATGGTCAAGATGATAGCACGGAAAATACAAAAGATAAAGATTCCAACATGAATGCTTCGTCACCGAAACAATCCCTTCGTTCGATCCGAGAGAGAAAAGTTGCAGAGGCTAGGGAGCGATACCTGAAACGAAGAAAAGCTCTCATATTGGACCAATAAAAAATGCAATATTGTTGTTCGCTRGACGCATAGGAGCCAACATGGATCGTATCTACGTTGTGATACGACCATTTTCACAAAAATACGTCAAAAGAGATTTAATTGATTGTCCATCTTTGGAATTAAATCATCCCATCATTATTTTTCGATTTGATTCAAGATTTTTTCTAAAAACACCTCACAAATACTCTAGAAGASGCGAAGTCTGGGAACTTTTAATACACGTGTTAAAATGTTATGAATTATATCGACGTTGTAATCATCAATCAGATCATTTGCTGTTGTCGTCGAAGGTCACGTAAGGGGTCATGTCCATTACTACCGTACGCACGATGAGTAACATTCTATCGTCCACAACWAAATTTGTGACTTTCACCATTCAATCAGTTGCTACATCTCCTACTGAAGCCAATTATGTGAGATAAATGGTTTTAACTATTCGAATCGTCACATCGAAGTCGGTGTGTTAMTACTAGGTATTTTCACGCCAMAATATATGTTTCTATGATTTCTGYTAGGGAAGTGGTCGATAATTCACGAGGGAGATCAACCATATGTTCTGTTGATTGGTTCAGTCACTCATCTCCTCATGACAACTTGAAWGAAATCACTATACAGATTCGATGAATCTCAATCGTACGTGTATTCTGTCGGCCGACAACAGATCAAAATTGATTGGTCTTCTTTTGATGCGTTGGCTGACATCACCAAGTAGATACGAGATAACAATTTATTAAAAGAGAAGAGAKTCCACTAGCTTCGTTTTACATAATGGCAATCAAAACAAATACAGCTATTCAATATCTGATTGCATCAGCACAACACCCAAACCCGCACATAGCATATTAAAAGGTGGATCCTTCCGATGGCTGCTTCAATCTTCTGTTTTTATCGGACATCATCTCCATTCGAATGCTCTGCAAGACCTTCTCGATCCCCATGTTGCGGTTCCAATTTTTCATCGCGGGAACTTTTTCTTTGATCACATCGCCGTTTTTCGAGTCCACACAGGTCATGTTGATTTTCGAGATGAACTTCAAAACAGGTGGAACCGCTGGATACTGGTCGTTGCAATGAATTCGCAGCTGGTAAAATCGGCCATCGTGTTGCGTCTGTGAAGAAGAGGGATGAAACGAGATCGAATAGGTGAGACGAACGAATAYCATTCCCCAAGAGCACTCCTTTACAAATTATATTTCAATGAATCTTGAATCAGGAACTCAAACGTACTCCCGCGGGGCCTAAGATACCGCCATTCCAGTCCGATAAAAAGGTATCACCCGAATCTACCAATCCGAAGCTGATCGACATATCGCCGTGACCCTTTTCGCTATTTTCGAGCTCCTCCAGAAGCTTGAAATTGCGCGGCACGATCACCGTTTCACCCATTGGAGTTCTTTGCATGATTGGATTTGGAGACGGTTCAAATTGAAAGTTGGGAAGATGATGAAGCCTGGTGAGATACAGTCGCACCCTTATGGTCGTAAGTCACTTTCAATGCGGTTGGAATGTTCGTATCTTCCCCGTTGCGGCGAGGCCTCGAGCCAATTTCTGGTAAGAGTTTTCAGAAGATAGCTCCAATGGCTTCTTTCTAGTCATATTCATTTATTTTTCTTTGGGGGGAGAAATTCTTAAAACAATATTTGGGGGATTCGTATTCGATACTGTATCAAGGASGATGGTTTTAAGGTTTTTTGMGCGAGAGCCTCAAAAGGCCCGAAAAACCTCAAAACCAATCAACGAYGAGAGWTGATCATTCCGAGCCAAAATATTTCGGACGACACCTGTATCACACCTCGTTCTGCWCRGTACTCGTACCTATGATAYCGCAGTGAATAGAATTATTGTTCCTTTTGTCTCCCCGTGCAATGATATCAAAATCAAGTATGATAGCAGAAAACGACAACATCGATGAAGAATCCTCGCTGGAAAGTTCAGACGAAGCTCTCTTGGATATGCTTGGATTGTCTTCATTGAAAGATGTGTCGGCAGTTACCAATGGTGACGAAATCTACGAATCTGATCGTCACATGGAAATGCATTCGACAAGAACCAACTCAAATCTTCCYGTTCTCTCTAACACTTGGCTGGATGAAAATCTTCGCCCTGAAGCGAAAACAATGTATTGGAACGAATCTGTTTTTCAATTTCCTGAAGAATGTTCCGTTTCAGCAAAACACCTAAGAATTATGACGGAGGAGGTTGTATGGGGAAGTGGCCCAAACAATTCCAAATACCGAGCAGATAGATCTTATGAAGGAATWAAGATTTGGAAAAATGGAGAGATCGAAGAGAGAAAAACCTTAACGAGATTAGAGAACTTTGTAGACGGTCACCCAGGTTGGAGTGAACTTTGTCACGGATACATTAGACGTATTTTGTCAGCAGCCTTAGGGGTCGAAATGGTGTTGTTTAAGGAAAAATTAAACATGAAACCACCAGGTGGAAGGTAAGTAGAAGGGACTTGTGGGATTGTCACGCGTTCTCCATAATGAACTAACATGTGACCTCTTCAAACTTCGCGAAGTGGTTTTGCACCTCACTTGGATTCCCCGTCGCTTAGAATAGCTCTTGGTTCAGAAGGACCGAAGACTTTTTGCACTGTGATGGTAGCTATTGATGACATGACAACGAAGAATGGATGCTTGCGTGTCTGCAAAGGAAATTGGACCGAAAATAATTGTTGTGCTGTAATAAAGCCAAACAAAGACGACAATCCGGATGCTGGCGGAAGGGCTGGTGCTATACTTCCAAGGATTGCTGACGATTTGGAGTTTGGAGATTTGATTTGTAAGGGTGGAAGTATAGCGGTATTCAATGGCTGGTGCCCGCATCGCAGTGCTGCCAATCTTTCGCCATTTCCTCGCCGTGCCATCTTCCTCACCTACAATCCAAAATGCGAGGGTGAATATCACAAGAAGTACTACGAACAAATGGAACAGATACGAAACRAATGGAGACAAAAAGTCGGRATATTGAATAGAAATCAAAGGWTGGAAGATGAAAARATTGAAATGATAGCACTGTCTTCAGTGCCAAAATAAGGAATCCCAATCCGCAATGAGACCAACTGTCGTAAGATTGAAGTTCTCAAGACATGTTCTTAACTATCATCMTTGGCTTTCGATGCTTTCACAAACTTGCAAACTCGTGCATTACCGTGAAGGTCAAGTATATTCAACCAATCTTCTTGTCTTGCATCGAGTCGATCATTTTGCGACTTAACTTCAACGAACATACATTCAACTCGAATCSGTTGAAGCTCATGTCTGAAACWAAGTTTCTCTGGCATCGAATAAAAAGGTTTCGCTTCATTCTCATTTGAATGGTCCTCTTSTTGAACAAAAAAACCGTTGGGTCGAGATGAGTTTCGCGAACGACTAGACCGTTGAAATTTAAAGRTGGCTCTGCCACCAGAATCGCCTACCTTCGAGCAACCCAGGAAATCCCCATCAGTATCGGCAAAGATYCGAGCCACCTGCTTTGCTTTCATGGCTTCTTGATATTTACTACTGAATTCCTCTCCTATCCATTCTCCCAAATCAACAAGTTCCCCTATAAAATTATCGTTTCTTGTCGATCGGTCATCAGCAGTAGAATTATAACGGAAAGCTCTTACCAAAAGCAAATCTGGAAGTCCTCCACTGTAATGACGATAATCAAAAAATAGGCATCGAAATGCAGAAGAAAGCACTTTGCCGCCTAAYCCAGCTGCTACCATAGCTAAAGTTCGCGCCTGTTGCAAGTCGGACTCCAATGAGGGATCTCGACGATGGAGGGAGTTCACGTACTGAACCCTTTTGTTCAGGCAATCGTAGACAAAATCGGAGAGATCTTCTCCGTCGAGGTTTGATAATCTTCCAAGGAAATCGTTGATRCTATWTTTCCTCGCTGCATAAATTCCACCAWACCGTGATTCAGCGGGATCAGTCCGTTCTGCTCCAACATGTAGGTCAAAAGGGGCTCCTTGGTAAGGCGTCAGGTGTACTGTCGGAGGTACGGARGCAGGATCTATGGACTTGGTGGACTCCCAGTCCATACCGAGGGTTGCGGAGGACAGTATCCGGAAAAGGATGCGGATTTTTCCCCCTTCATCATGATAGCCATACCATCCCCCATTTCTTTGAGAGTCGTCGGATAGTGGAAGACGGCCCTGATGATAGTATTCTTTTGCCAATTCTTCAACGTTCAAGGAGCCCGTCCGAACCGCATGGTCGTCGTTTTCGAAGCCKATAAAAGAGCATCTCCCACCAGCTGAAGCACGATCCGTACCAATTGCATTTGCTACAGCTGTATCAAATGTAGGACTCCAGTCGTTGTATTTTTCCACTGCTTGTTGTGCTATAGTACCATTGGATAGTCGAAGGCCGAGTTCGCTGGTTTCAAACGAAAGAAGTCCTTTGAGTGTACTAGAAAGAGGACGCTTCAAGCGCCTGGCAAGGGTCCTTATGGAAGAAAACGCTATTTGACCTGTAGGAACAGAGGTCCGTATGATGTGTTCCGTCAAAAGAGTTACCACTTCATTTACAATTGATGCAGCTGAAGCCCGTCTCTTCGGCTTCGTTGAACCTTTATCTTTCGATACACTTTGTTGAGAATTCTTGAGTTTCATGAGGCCAGACACTTTTTTCCTGACCAAATGGGTGTAATCGATGATCAGCCGATCAAACGCCTTTCCACGAGCTCTCCTAGAAATTATGGAATGGTGGGAGTAGCCCGTAACATCCGACATGCTCTTATAACTATAGCTAGAAATATCTGGAATGATCTCATTTTTGGCTCGCGAAAGGCGCTTGCCAAAAAGAATGACCTCCAGCGCATTGATCGCCAAACCGTAATATCCACGWCGCTCCAATAGAGGAATGATGTCCCAAAGAACATATGACATACAACCTTCCCAATTCATATGTCTCAGCCAAGGTCTTTCGAAGCATAATCTTGTTTCTTCTGTATTTTTGTGAATGTTTCTATGCTCGAGAACGTGAGTCAAAACTATTCCGATCACACCCAAAATTCTCTCGCATTCGTTTGCTAGACGGCTAGTTTCAACAATTTGCGACATTCYGGCATCTTCCGGGGGCTGTACGATCAGAGTACACAAAGGCCTCTCGCATAGAGGTATTCCTAATAAAATTGAAACCTCTCGTTCGATTTCTGAAAAGATAGATCCACTATCTTCTTTTTGTACCTGTAGAAAACCTTGGATGATTTTGGCTCGACCAACTATGGTCAGCAACTCTTGAAAGTCTAGTTCTGTTGTCTCTCTTGGAGTATCCGAAGTTTCTGTAGACGAATCTTCAGAAACTTCGAAGTCCCCATCGTGACTCTCTCCRTCGCTGCTAGAATTGCTCTTTGATTCGGATYTCGCTTCTCGAGCTCGCTTTCTCTCGTTGTATAGCAATAAGTCATTCAGTTCGAGCAGAAAGTCGCAATTCTCTCTGACTTCAACCCCTAATTCCCACTGATGAAAATCTTGAATATCACGAAATACTTGAATATCAGCTAATTGGCTAATATTGTCAGCGAAACCCAATTCTTTTGCTTTCTTGGTAAGATTGTTCCYGTTCTCATCTCCTTCCATGACGGTTCCGTCACGGTCATGACCTGTTGTGTGATCTAATTCTTTCACTACGAGAGGTCTATATGCTCGAACGAAGGAACAACTTATAACTCTTAATCTCCAGTCTTTTCCTGGGTAACAAACCGTGTTCCAAGAGGATCCYGGTGGAGATACCAAATTTGTTCGCAACGGCAATTTTTGCAAGTCCTTGGAATGGGAATCTGGCAAACTTCGCCAGGCATTGCTACCGTTGTTGCGCATATCTCCTGGACCAGACGTGGCACACAAATACAGTCGGCACGCTCTACGCAAGGTACGAACAGGAGCCTCTCGCAATCGCAMACAGAGAACTGTTGACGTGAGCCTCATTTCGGACTTGAATTTCTGTAACATTTTCAACAATGCATTGCAAATGGTTTTTGTAGCGGAGCGAAGGATTGGGGATGGAACAAACTCGACCTTGCTGGCCTTCAGTATTATGCTTGAAGCCCATTTTTCAACAAGAATCTGATGAACGTGTTTAATGACAGGAAGTATAGTGCTTCCGCTTCGATTGTTGAAACTATGGAAAATGGTTTGTTGCTGGCACATCTGTTTCCAAATGAGATTCTCCAATGGTTGTCGCTGTTGTTCTTCAGTGGATTTCGTCGAAGACGGGAAATAATTCGTTCTTGACTTATWATATGCACATTGTTTTCGTCCTCCGCCCAACTTGGTTAGTATGGCGCGTCGTTCGTCTTCTCGGAGCAGAGAAGCTTTTCCTTSTCTTTTCCCTACTGTTCTGCCACATTCYTCTTCGCTATGAAAGGACCTTATCAAACCCATGTGAAACAGCCGTTTAATATCTTCGAGGAGAAGAGCCACAGCCTCCATTTGAAGATCCACACACTTTTTATCAATATAATCGTTTTCATCTATGACCGTCGTTTGTTTCTTTTCGCAGTTTCTGTGCTCGTTATTACGTTGAGCAAAGAAGTTTGATGGCCTRTAAGGTTTTGGGAATTCTACTGTTGCAGGAACATCAATGGCAGAAGTGTCCAYCTGTTTGGATACATTACACGACATCGCACCTTTTTCTTCTTGCAATCGGGGCTTCTTGGGAAGATAATAGCTTGCGTAAATGTTATCAAGACGAAACCAAGGTCCTTTCCGAAAATACAAGCGAGCATAGACTTCCAAACATCGGTCATCAGGATCACTATTTCCTCCTTCGGAATGAAATTGARATTTGCTGTTTTTGGCAACGRTAGGATTGTTACTKATTTGCGTGTCGGTKTCAATCTTGACATTTTCTGTATTTGCCTTCTTTCTGTCGTTCTCGCCACTATCCGATGATTYAAAAGAAAATTCCTGGCTTYCTTCGCCAACATGATTACCGACGTATGATTGTTCATTTCCATCGATTGCGTGGTATCTTCGAGACAATGTGTGAATTGCACTCATATCATCTGCCTGTTCCCATGAAAAAAGGCGGCTTCTGCGGGGACCTTCCACTCTCCACCTCGCGTCCCATAAAATTGCGTGGCAAATTTCTGCCAGTGATTGCAAATAGGCAGATGTTCGATGGGGAAACATAGAAATAGGCAATCCAATTGTCGATGCGGATGACAAGAGCCCACTATTAGGAAAACACGTGGATGRTGCAAGTGGGGTCGCTGGTATTTCTGACTTCGCAMCAGATCTAGAAATATCCTCGTCGGTATGCTGTGCCGTGTTGTTCGTTTTCCGATCATTCGATAAAAAGGGTGGTGAAAACTCCGTGGCTCTCGATGAAATCGGAGACACGGCTTTTCTTTGCTCTCGTTCGCTGTACTCTGTGGTCGTCCCTATTCTTTGCTGCGACGGATAACGTGTGCAGAGAAGTTCGACATCGTTRTAATYACCATCGTCCCTGTCACCGAACATGYACTGACYCCTTGGAAATTGACATGTCYCTTTCCCATTATGCACATGGTATGACGGTGCAGCGGAATAAAGATATTTTTGTCTYTCAGAACTCCCAGMTTGTACATCATTGTTCGTCGAAGTATCACCGATGCATCTAACATCGGATCTCAAGCATCGTTCTGGGGAAGAACGGGACGGGATACCTCCATCCTCCATCACCTTTTGAAAGACAGCATCAAATGGCAAACGGATCAAAATTTAATTCTAAACCAGAAAGAATGTTAGACAATGTCCGCCATGCTCAATATGATACTCGTTCATGTGTTGGCGCCATCTTTCGGGAGAAACAAATAACAAATAATGCTTCCACTTCGTAAGGTTTGTTTACCAGAAGTGCGGTAGTGTACTAGTAGAATCGTACTAGAGTACGTACGAGTACCAGTACTCGTATTCAAAATCTGAATCGTTGAWAATTTTGATCTCACTTTAATTACTCTTTGTAGTTATTTTAGATATGTACGTAGGGTACTCTGGTGCAGTACCGTCCGTCCAGTACTAGTATGTACGGAACGAGTACCGTAAGTACGTTTTACGAGTACGATACTCATGCTTTGGATCCATGTTTTGAAAAACACGTCATAAGCACTCGACCGCCATGATCTCAAATGGAAAATCCAACACGACAGAATGGTTTTTCAAGAATGWATGAAGGCGCGTCATACTACCACGGATCTGCGAAACACCGGCATTCTCATCCCACATTYCAATCCAACAATAGCACAGAAACGAATACGACGATGAAAAGTTCTTGCTCGGTTGTCTTGCTYCTTTCCTGCCTTGTAGCAGGAACCCACGGATTCTTCCAAAATGCGGCGAAGAAGGCCTCTCCGAAAAACTCGGTTTTGACCCAGGAAGCTGTTGATATCTACGGAGCCAGATATCCCTTTGATCGAAAACCCCKCGAGTCCGGTGTTCTTGACTCTATTTCAAAATTTGGTATTCCGACAACGGATATTGATGGAACCAAAATCATKTCAGAGAATTCTAMCCCTGGAAAGCGCATTACTGACAGATCGGCACAAGAKRTTGCTGCTGCTTTCAATAAACTTGCTGCCATCTATGGCGAGGAACGAGCCATCGAGATGGTGAAGATTTTCCCTATCTGCCTGAGTTTTGACCCCAATGCCTWTGCTGGAAGTTTTGGCGTCTGGAGTGAGATTTTCGGGGAGGAAGAAACCAAGGACATGGTTTSCCGAAACCCTGGATTGTTGGCGGTGAAAGAAMAAGATGCCGGAAAGAACASTGACAACACCATGGCCTTTTCGTACATTGTTGCTGCCACTCGACCAATTGGTATCCTTGGACCAGTTGGMATCGGAAGTTTGCTTTCCGTTCCTGTCATCGAAGGCACGACAGGCATTGCCATTAAGCAACCGTTCTTTGATGCTTTGGGCAACATTTTTTAAACGTTTTTGAATACTTTCAACTCATGTTCGACGTCGAGATGATTCCATATCTGAAATTAATACGTACAGTACGTGATTCGTAAAAGATTCGAATAAAGATGCCAGTATCTCCAACAGATTGCTWTATGAAAGTTTGGTTCCCGCAATTGTACATTGTTCAAGGGCCAAGGACAGTGCAAATACGTCGTGCGTTAACTCAAGACTGTAGAAAATTGCAAATGATTCTTCTGCTACCCGAGGTCAGCGATAGAGAGTTTTTCTTCAAGGCGTGTATTGTAGAAGCTTAAATGAAATGTGTTACAAGCTGAATTATGAGATCTAAGAGAGGGAACTCTATTTTATTTGCCATCATGGACGGCCATAGAACACACTTTCGGGAATACCGACTCATGGAGCATACACCTCGTGYTATGGTTGAAGAGAGTCAGTTAATGGTAACGTGCATAAGCGGTAMCACTGCTATTTGCATTGTGTCTTCATGGGCCGCTTTGTTACCGTAAACGTAATCGAAACACCTTCGTAGTGCATGCTTGAGTTTCAATTTTCTGGAGCATCGTTCCAATTTTTGGTTCGGCATTACCTCTCACACACACACACTCTCAAGTGACAAGTATTTTTTTGGTGGCACTTACTCGCAMTGCTTGTATGGTTCAATTCGAGGAGTGTGCGTAGGTACCGTACTTACGGGTACTCGTACCCGTCCTGTTTTTGTAGTCCTTATTACGAGAATAAGTCTTCGCCTGTTGGCACGAAGTTTCACCCAAATATTTCTTTGTCATGGACTTGTGACTTAATTACTGAAGTCGACTCAGTCAATCAATTTTGTCCCACGTGTTAGTGTAATGTAGAAGGCGAAGGGAGTGTACAGACTACGAGTACGTACGTATGTGTATCAGTACAGTACCGTCTACAACTCAGATCTAATACAGTAATTGTACAGATATTCGTATTCGACAATTTGCATGCTTTCCGTCCAGTTGAATACAKTACCTTACTTGTTCAGCAGGCATTGGCAACGAGGGAGCCTTGCAATAAGTAGATCGYCTGGATTTTTCTTTGTTGGTGTTGCTACTAGCATTAGGAAAGGAGAAYAAAACCAGCCGACTTCTTGAAGATGCTGAAATTTTCGAAMCGCCGTCGCTCGTTAAAGRAGCAAAGAATGGGATATTMTAGTTTCATGAGAACGGTCGCCTCGATATATKTCGTGGCAAGTTCGTTGACAATAGTGCATGGATTTGTAACGCATCATGTCATYCAGCAAAGACAGATTTGCCAATTCTCGCCTTCGTTGCCATCGTTGTCGACAGACACTTCTCTGGCCAGCGTAAAAGAGGAGGGTGTTCTCGAYCGTTTCACGAGTCCGAAGATTGACGATCCCGTGCTTCCTTTGACCGAGGCCGGAATCGCGCAGGTCGTGGCCCCGACTTTTCAATTGATCTGGTTGTCATCCGCTAAATCCGCTTTTCCTTCTTGGACTACTCCTATCTACGACTATACATTCGTTCCGCGAGGAGCCCTCTTGGCTCCCACCCTAGTTCACGGAGCAGGACTCGCTTGCTGCTGGATTCTGGGGTGTCTAGCGGTAAARGGTTACGAAAGAGAAACATATGAGGCAGAGCTTCCACAGGTGGTTTTGTCGACACTTAAAGCGGGAGCATTCGCCTGTGGACTCCTCATCATGGGTACGCAAATAGATCTGTACCAAGAAATGGGAGGCTATGTTCAATTTGGAGATTCTCCCGAAACGGATTTGAGAATAAACTTAGCCCTGATTGAAATTATCAACGAYATTTTCTTTGAGGCTACCACTCTCTTGGCGTGGCGAGTACTACGYTCAAGAATTGATGGATTGTAGAGAAGAGAAGCTTTGCTTTAATCTAATGACAGGCACGGATTCATTTGCTTAAGTTTCAGTCAGCGCTGATTTATTAAAATGAAAAAAWTTTCTACCTCGTCATTCTCGTTCTTCGCCGTCGCCGCACGCTACTGTGTTGTGGTGGTAGATATTGTTCGCTTCCGTTGTCACCTGCAACATTTTCACCGCTTACTRGAATTCTAACATCGTGATCAATTGAAAAAGTTTTGCCAACAGCAAAATCAGCTGACCACGCCAAAAGCATTCCCCATGCATCGTCTAAATCTGATGCATGTGTTCGAATTGTATCAAAGAATCCACTTTTATGGTGGTGACTGTGACAAGTTCGCCATCGTTTCACCACCGCCGAATCCTTGAAGAGAACATAAAAAGAAGACGACAAAAATATTATCCATGCGATGAAGATGGAAAATGAGTCGTGAAGTTCYATCTTCTGRTCATTATTCAAATCAGCATATACTTGTTTGGAGTTTACACCTTGTTGACCTGAATCTGTGCGGTCCAAGCATTCCGATATTGCCTTCAAAGCRATTCGCTGCATATCTTCAAGATTCTCCCATTTGTTTTGCCGATGAGCCCTTGCGGTTGCCCTAACGATTGMTACCGTTCTTTCAAGGCCTGAAGTAATCAWTCTAGCAACTTTTATCCTTCTCTTCTGTTCCCACTCCGCGTTGTCTTCAGTGTTTGAAATGTCTGGTTCGATAGATTTTCGACGCAATACTCGTAACAACTCAGTTGCGACCTGTTTTGGATCGATCCGGTCTTGAGTTAAGCTATCAATTGTCATTCGGGTAAGAAYATCCTCATCGACTTGGTCACCTACGAAATCGAAAGTTGGCGTTCGATCATTTTGTGAGACACAGAATACTTCCACGCCAAGAGCGAGAAGTATGTTTGATTCCGAATTGCAATGGATTAGCGCAACTATTGTGGAGGGGTGTCGAATGGCACTGTCCAATGTACTGATTGATGCTTCTGTATGAATGAAAGAGGGAACTATCGGTGGGAAGTAAGGATTGCTCCCTTCTTCCTGGAACACAAGCCAATTTACTTCGAATCCAACAACTCGATTTTGACAGGTAGCACGATCAAAGTGACATTCGTCGTACCCCTCCAAAGCTTGTTTAGTCAAAGTAAGTGCTCGAATCAACGAACGGACCCACTTTGCAGAAACGCCTGCTGGGGGAGCGACCATGATAACAGTAGCATTCTTCTCATTGTTCCAAGATGTTGATTGGTTTAGACAAAGTGTACATGGAGATAAGAGAGGCTGCAAGTTATGTAAACGTTCGGTGTATCCGTGTACACCAACACTAYGGTCAGCGATCCTGGATGGTGTCCTATCGTCGTCTTGCGTTCCGTCGTTAGTTCCGTCGTTATTTGGTTCCATTTCCGAAAATGATGGATTTGACGATGAAAGTAAAAAGGTAGTATCTGTGGAAACGATATCGACTAGCATGGCGACCATCGATTGGGGCTGAAAGAAATCAATGGGTGAYTTTAATCGATTCAGTTCTTGAAACCCTAAGGAACGCCGCATCCAATTGGCCCTTAAAAAGGCAATCGTCAATCCCAAACTGTCGAGTCGTTGCAGAAAAATACGATCCATTCGATCTAGAGTTGATCGCAGGGGGGAGAGACCCCAGTTTCGATTGTGTTCCATCGCCAATGTCAACATCTGCTGCGACCCGATCGCAATCGTTGGCACCATCTTGATTTCACTGTAAAGCAAACCACCTAAGAAACTGGCATCCATCATCATTACAAAATCGTAGCAATCACTATCTCTGGCGTTGGGTATGTTTGAATGGATTTTGGTATTGCCTTCATTCGTTTCTGAACCGACAAAAGCATCGATTTCTCTTGATARTAACTTCAGAATGGAAGGCGCTTCGTCAATCGCGCAATTTTGTAATGGATGGGCTGCTGGGCAAATATTGGTTTTCGAAATATTGTCAACTTTCCCCCCATTCTTCGGCATTGTCAGTTCGACAAGCGAAAAGGAATCTCTAGCGCGTTCAATGAATCCATTATTGGGAGGTATTCCTGACAATACTTCGGACCGTATCTTATTCGCCGTTGTTTCGCGGTTTTGGTGCCTTTCGATAGTATCATTGCCCCGGGATATATAGAAAATAGTAACATTGATACCCGCCACAAGCAATCCAGATGTTATAATGACGATCTCTTGATGAATCGGATGGCTTTCCATCAAAGGAATGACGACGTGGTATGGAAGATCCTGGCTATTYGAATTTTTGGTTACTGAACTAACTGCRTCATTACTGTCARTAGTTTTTTTCTTCCGTTTCCGAGACRGATTAGTGGATGAGGATGCGAAAGGTGGTTCCAAAAGAATATCGCACGAGGTATGATCATGGAGCCAATTCAACATCGATCGAACATTGCGTTTTCCTCCTTTGTTTTCGTTGATAGAATCCTCGTGGTTAACTGCATTGCTTTTGTAGGTTGAAAAAACTTGGCCAATGCAACGGCGGTGCACATAGTCTGATTTGGCATCCACAGGTCTTTCAAAAGCAGGAGGGATGTGCTGGCCMGCAAAAACTACCAATGGTAATGCGAARAGAAGATGGCCCAAGGACCAACCTATCATCAATGCCAATCGAACAATCGAACGGGCATTGCGTGCTGTTGTGCTTAGCATAGMAGAATCTGTTTGTCTTCTGGCATATTTACARGCAAGGCATGGATTACTTCTTCTTTGGATCATATTCCTCGCCATGATTGTCATTTTCAGTATCCTATCAACTCGAAGAGGACAAGGTTATWAACGCRAAARGGTCATGATCTTTTGTTCAGAGCACTTCGAGTTCTTGATGTGTGTTCTGYATAGCCAGGGGTAATGGTCAACATTTTYCATCGATATCTTTGCATAACATTTCAGTAATACATAATCGGAGAAGCAATGTGCTGTTGTTGTTTCTGTTTTGTCAAGGCGCACAACACGACAGTATTTTTCGACAACCGTTCTCTTCGTTCATTCTCTGGGTGAGAAGTTGCTCTTACTGCAACCCGCAACAAATTTTTGGATCTTTTTCACAAACCGCACTACACAGGGTGGTAATAATAGTAGTAGTTAACACTACTACCAGTACTAGTACTTGTACGAGTACTACCACTACCAGCTTGTCATTACTCTACTTCTTGTCTTTGTTACATCACTACTTCCAAGAAGAGTCTGCTTCTTGTCTTTGTAACATCACTAGTAATACTAGTACTACTATCAAGAAGAGTGTTCTAACCCTCCTGCTGGCTGGAAACTTTTGCTGTGTGTACTAGTAATAAAAGTATTTATTACTAATAACCATTCTTTTTAAAGCAACATTGTTATATCAGCAATAATTTGTGATTGCAAAAGGTGGTGGTTTACTGTCATGTATTTGGATGACCATTGGTAACTGCAAGGACAAATGCATTATTAGTAGTACTAGTACTAGTAGTACTACCACCACCATTTGTTATTGTTTATTACATTTTTGTAAATCTATGAGCACTTTTCCTGAACATTACATTTGTAACACCAACAGTCATGCAATGTTACCAACATTCATGTTATGCAGCCCTGATATTTTTGACTGGTAGTAATAGTAGTCTTAGGTTCTTCTTTTCATTTTTGACTTGATAGTTTTTTGGTTTTGGTTTTGGTTTTGGGGAGTTGGGTTCTCTTCTTTCAGCTTGGAATGACAGTGATGATTATGAATGAATTTTTACAGTCTTGGGGGGGGGGGGGGTTCTTATTAATTTTCAAATGGCTGGTTACAGAATGGCTAATCATGACAGTGACTAGTATATTTATCTTATCTTTGCTGGATGTGTTCCTCTTGAGGAGTACTACCACCCCTTGTTGGAGCAACAAGAAGCATCTTTTCTCCCAAGAAGTGCTGGCTCCTCCTCTAGAATGATGGTACCCACCACCCAGTGTCTCTTCTAGTTCACATAGATAAAAATCATTATTTTTTTTTTGGGGGGGGGGGGTATTGTATAGTAGTAGAGTTGGCTAGCAAATCTACAATCCAGTCGTAGAATTTGGGCCCTTGCTTTTCCGTGTAATGACTACTTTGACTAAAAAAACTATTCTTGTACATAATTCGTGTGCTCAGTACAAAATGCACATGCTCAGCCTTGCGTTGAAATTTTAAATTTTCAATCCTGCAACCAAATAGTTTTGCTTCTTACATGTGCCATTGCTGTACCAGTAGCCCGCCCATGAGTCATTAGACGGTAAAAAGATGACCCATTATCCATGCACCTTGTTATTTAACTGTATAAGAACTGTTTCAATCATGAACTACTACTAACAGTTTGAGCTGTATCTTGGTCCCCAACAGACACTTAACAATCACAAGCACACAAATTTAAAGCAAACTAAAACAGGATTCTAGTGATATTGGGGAGCCAGGGGGTCTTGGTAGTGGCATATATTGATGCATGTACTGATATAGTATGATCCAAAATGTACAACTGGATCGTTTTTTTTAATTGGCTGAGCCTATACGATACCAAGTCTTGGGAATATGGTCAAGCTTGGGGGAAGAACTGCTTGAATTTTTGAGCAAGCAATTGTAGTTATGACTATTTTTCCAAGTTTTGGGAGTTGGGTTTCCTCTCAAATCTTGAAATGACTACTATTCATGATTAGTAGTAGTAGTAGTAGTACTAGTATGGCTGAATTTTTTATTGATCAGGTGGTGTGATTTGATAATGACACCAGAAAATTCTTTCATACAGACCAGCACAGCAAGAGGTACTAGAACAGAAATGAGTACTACTATGTTGTTTTCTTAGTAGTAGGGCAGGGGGGAGCAATGAGGTCAGTACTACTAGTAGATATCCTCATTATTTTCCCTTACTAGTGACTGCTACTGGATCTCATTGCTGGTGCTACCCACAGCATCTTTCACATCATCATAACTTTAGTTCCAGCAGAGATATCCTTACCACCATCAGCAGAATTGTACCTAGTAGCTAGTAGTACAGGAAGGTATGCAACAAGAGACAAGCAGCTCCTATTCTTGATTTGAAAAGAACCACCATCCCAGTTGGACCTCAATCAAAACTCCTCCTTAGAGGGAGGTACTGCCCCTCAGAACAACTGAGATCATTCTTCTCAGAACTAATGGTTCTGGCCCATATATAGCCTCTTCCTGTAAATAAAATCTTAATTTTTTTTCTGATTCCAAAAGAACCAACACACTAATCATCCCCATTTTTTCTGACTGGAACCCTTTAGCACTATGGTGGTTCCATCATTTCTGACGTTTTTACTGTTGTTTTTCTACTGCCAGCAGTCCCACAGATCAAACCATTCAATCCAGCAGATTATTTTGGAACATCCTAACATTCCACATGAATCATGTTAATTGAAATGAGCTACTACTACTACTACTAGTACTACAACTACTGCTGCTGCTGCTGCCACAACTACTACTAGTAGTACTAGCAAGTGGCATATTTGATGTCAATCCCCTACTCTGAATCACTACCAGAGCAAAATGTTATCAATACTAATAATATTAATTTTGTATTTAACCTGCCTTGTGAAATACAAGGCACAAGATGGTCCCATTACTTCTAAGGAGAAGAATGCTCCTAGTAGTCGTAGTTGCTCCAACAAGAGGCAGCACCTCCCTCCTAGTAGGAGATCTGATGCTTGAAGTATCATGACTGGTGTGGAGTTTCTCCAACAAGGGGCAGCACCTCCCTCCCCTGGTGGTAGGAGATCTGATGCTTGAAGTATGACTGTGGAGTACAATATTAATGATTATTTTTTGTCATTCAATGTTGCCAAGTGTTTCACTCCTCTCCTTTTTCACTCATAGTTGCCCCAAAAATGATATTGGAAAAATATTAAATATGAATAGTATGACATAAAAAAGCTTATGCAATTCAACTGTTCTTGGCTGGTTCCCATTGTTGTCTTTGCTCACATCCATCCCAGCACTTGTGTCATCGTCACTACTATATCTTGCCATGATACTATTATCTTTACATTTCCCTTGTTTAGTACTAGTAGATGGTAATCATGCTAGTGTGGTCTATCAAATCCTAGGGCCATCTTTTCATCCAACACTGTCACCGACTATTGATTTTGGAAATTTTCAATCAAAAAGATTACAACAATTTAGAAGTAGGATCATCCAGAATTCAATTTGAATACGCTTTCCTGGACCACCACTATTGGCAAGCTCCAGCATGGTTTCCATCTCTTCTCCATCAGAAAGAAAGAGACATCAGAAACAAACTTGAACAGAAATATTGGCAAATCACCATTCTTGAAGACTCTTGCTGCTGATAGAAAATGCACCTTCAACATAGCAAGAAGATGGGACTTGAATGATGATATCTGACAATTGACTTTGTCTAACTACATCAATCAAACTCCACATTTACAAAAGACTACTACTACTGGTAGTATGTGAATTAAACAACACTACAGTGTTGAAATATGTATAGTAAATCCACTATATGTGCTTGGCTTATTAATGCAAAAGTGATGCATGCAGCTTCAAATATATGCTGGACTTGCTAGTWCAACGTAGTAGTATTATGAAATGTTAGCACTTCTACTAGTAGCCAAAGTGCATTAGAAGCTGTCTAGAAGCTATCTACTGAAGTGCAATCCATGTCAGCTTACATGAAAAGCACCCCTGGCAATGGTTGTTTGAAATAAATATCTTGTTCTTGTACATAGTCATCATGGTTTCTACTTCAACTTGATGTSAATGGAAAGTGGATGAGGTGGTCTTCCCGTCTTGTCAAATCGCACCACTTCGTGATCGGTTTTGGTGGTATAAATCATAGCAGTCAGATTGTATTATTGTTGAAAAAAAGCAAGTCACAATTAGTTATCCGATTTCTATGTTTATTTTTCTATTGTATTTAAGCTTTATTTGGTTCATGTATGYGATGTATATCAAATCAGGATTCTCGCACGTTGTTCATGGCCGTTTCGCATCACGATCCTGTTTCTCGGACTTTGAGCTCGACCCCTCCCAAATGGCTGTTTTGCTAGGCAAAATTGGAAGTTCTTCTACAATTGCGCCACTACCGTTCGCGCTCYTCATTTTKTTTGACATGGGYTTCTTCTTGATTTCGTCCACCGTCAAAACTTGTCTGGATTCTTTTGCGATCGGAGATGACTCATATTCCAGCTCGTCGTCTTCTTGCTCTTCCGTGCTTCCACTTGATTCCGCGTTTTTATCACGCCCGCTACCAGTGTTCGATCGTCTATCAAAGGCTGTATTTCGAATCACTTCATCGGCCAGGACGTCCCGACGAATAGTGTCACACAACACAGACAAGCGAAGAGTACCCTGGAAAGGATCTTCGATTGAGTAGCCGATTTCATAGACACCAAACATCAACCAGCTRACGAGGAATAYAGCTGGTGCCGTGAGGAGCTCGAGTGATTGYACCAAACAAAAGGGAAGAGTAAACAGCCAAATGCTCAATGCACGCAGAGAATGTCTCGCATAATTCAACGGGACGGCGGTTTGGTGAATTCTTTCGCACGATCCGATGCAGTTGCTCAGCTTTTCCACCTTGCCGATTAGTGTCAGACGTTCTCTGGATGTGAAACAAGGACCGTCGGGAATCGATCGAATTTCTTGCGCCATTCGATCACARACCCAGAGTGGTCGGTTTTGTGAACTGGCACAGGATTCCATTGCATCCGGAGGCAACAATCGCCATGGTAAAGTTCGTTTGTCGACCCAGTACAAGGGACGTCTCTTTCGTCGCGACTTGCCTTCCTTTTCTTCCTGGGTTGCCACTGCCGCGAGCTCCGGATCGAGATCGTGCGCAGCCTTGTCTTGATACAACACGATCGAGTTTTCGGGATCCCGGACATTGTCGACGTCGTCAACACGGTACATAATTAGATTGGGTCTAATTCTATGTCTCAGAAGGTACGGAAATGCAGCGATGAGGCGTTGCAGGCGCCTTCGCTTGGATCGTCCCATTTCATTTTCGTACAAGTTAATCATTCGGTACATATCGCGTGACAGATTGRTAATATTTTCCCAGACCTTGCGTCCCTCGGAAAATCGTTGGTAGGCAGAATTGGTTTTGAAGACAAGCAAGAGGGATAGCGCCGAACTCATGAGAGAGTGTGGTGTACTYGAGATGCACATGATATTGGCGACAGTTTGATTCGTMACCAATAAATGGCGATACAGTATCGATAGAAGCCCAGCCCAGCAAGACATGAAAAGAACCGGTCCCCGAATGGCTCGAAGAATCGCCGAGTTAGGGAGTGATAATGTGTTGTGGCACCAGTCACTGCGTGAATGAAAAAAGTTAGATTTCGATCGGACAAGCTTGCACAAAGACATATTTTGATAGACACAAGGAAAGTATCTTCCTTTGCTTACTTACCGCGATGAATATCGACCGGATCGAGGGACACCTCCGAGTTCTTCGGCCTCTCTCATGCGAACTTCGTCGGCGTGTCTCGATCTCGTTAATGAACCACGTGACATCCAGGACATCCATTTACTGTGATCTTCTTCTTTGCTCTTCTCTTTCTTTCTTTTCCTTTTGTTCGAGGATGATATCGATGACTTCATCCCMGCTGCCCCGACGATCTTCCTTATGCTTGGGTGATTCGACGATGCCGATGTTGTTGTAAAGAGCGGCGAGAATGCCGAGCAAGCATGGTAGTTTGTGCKATCATGAATTATTAGCATCAAAAAACAATAGTAGGAAGACCATCTCGCCAGACGAGACGCTGCTGGAGAGCTGTGGCGGAAGGATCGGCGAGAACGCCGCAATGACATGGTGCTGTGTTGCKTTGCCATCATCGTCGCTACCGATTTTGCTKTTATCCAACTCGAARGTAGAGTGCTGTAATATTCTTTTCTATCTCGGATTTGTTAGGGATTGTGACTGAAGTGAAGTCTTTGATAACATTCAGGTASTGTAGTTCGTCTTGTCTTCTTCGCTAGTTGTTTGCGAAGCTGAAACAGAAGCAGGTTCCCCGAACAGCCGTAAAATGGAGATTAGATTCGTCGGAGTTGCACAGCGACRTTCCATTGGGGCGTTGAGCGAAAAAATGATGCGGAGGAGATTCGTGATGGGCACGTTTGTGCGCTGTTTGCGGGAGTGAAAGAGATTATATTCCCAAGAGATTCTTTTAATCAATCAATCATCAAACTACGTAGTAAAATTGACTGTAGAGTGCTACGAGTGCAACCTATTCGTTCTATCTTACCATGTGTGCCGTACCGGTAGCTGTCGAAGGAGATGACATTCGTTGAGATTTTAATCACAACAACACAACAAATAGAAAAAATAGTACTACGACAKTACCGTAGTTCTAGTACACTACTCGTAATCCAAAGAATGTAGATGGCTCTGACAGATGGAGAGAGCGTGACASAGAGAATTGCTGCAATGCGTCAGCTGCGATTTTGAAAAAGGCGATCAGACGAAGGATAATCTTTACCAATCAAATTCAGTAATGCAAATGAAACAAAAGGCGCGAGGACATGACGTCAGCAGAATGACAGAGATTCCCAACGTCTGACTATCGTACGGTATGGTAAGTAAAAAACTCATGAAATGATGATGATTTTTTCGTCAGTCGTGGAYCTCAAGAGAATTTGGAGTCGTGGATCATGTTGAACCTGCGATACTTGCTTCGGTAGACGCAGATCGCTAGAACATCAATCAACATCACTTTTCACCTTCCTTTTCCATCCCCAAAATGAAACGTACCGTAACTCTCACCATCGTATCGTAACGTACCATACCGTTCCTACCGTSCAGTRAATCCGAGACCAGACATCATTCCGTACTCCGTACACTAAACATTATCTTTCAGATACCGATACTCGTATTTCTTCCACCATCAGCTAGAAGCTCTCCTGCACRCAACGTACAGCACGATATCGGATCKTAACGTTCCAAGATCGTCACAGCCATGCAATTTACCAAAGTTTCCTCGCTGGGTGTYTTAATAGTGGCGGCGTTCCCCACGTGTACGTCGTTCGTGACAGAGACCTGTATTGTACGCAGTGTTCCTTCCAAGGAGTCACAAGGTATAATAAGAAACGAGAAGGATGCGACACGTTTTTCGATGTCTTTGTCGCCGCAGGACACAGAAACATCTGAATGGTCAAGCCGTCTWATTGAACAAACCAAAGAAGCTGCGTTCTGCGCGAACATGGTACTGTCAGCCGTCTTCCACCCATCGGAAAAGGTAGAACCTGAAGATATTGTCAAGATTTGCGACGAGATTGACGMGATCTCTGATTCATCTGGTAGCAGCAATATACGCGTGAAGGCGCTAGAGACAAAACGCTACGAATACCTTGCTAAGCTGATGCAAAAAGACTACGAAGCCTATGTCGCAACTGCAAGCTTTCTGAGCCCCAGTCGGATTCCACGAAGACAGCTCCCAAATTTGCAAGACGTAACCATTGATAAGAATTCTGTCCCAAATGATTACGAAGTCAAGGAAGATGGTTCTRTTCCGTTGGTTGCGGACTGCGAGTTAGAGCCCAAGATATTCAACGACAACATTCTGGATACTGTCCTGTTAGCGATTTTCCGAAAACTTGTCGAAAAGAATACRAATGGCGTGTCTTCTGAGAAGAAGGGCATCGACGGCCTCTTAGAGCAAGGACGAACGTTCATGCTTCAACCTGGACAAACGCCCGAAGCACAGCATAAGATGGTCTCAGATACACTTGCTGGATTGATGACTCCCGTCCTACCACCGTTTTATCGTATTTTCATGTCTGGCATTGTCCCAGAAATAGGGACTAAGTGGGATGGCAAGCAGATTGGCCCGTGGTTTTACGCGCCGTGGTTGACCACGATAGTGACGCCCACTTTTTTTGGTTTTTTGGTTGGACCATCATACCCCAATCGTCGCAAAGATGGAAACTTAGGAGGTCTTGTCGTTGAGAAGTGCAAGTTTTTACAAGAGAGTGGGTGCAAAGGATTGTGTTTGCATCAATGCAAGTTACCAGCCCAGCAATTCTTTCAAGAAAATCTTGGTTTGCCCCTTACAGTTAGTCCCAACTTCGTAACTCAAGAATGCCAATGGAGTTTTGGAGAAACACCTCTTCCACCTTCCGAGGAYAAGAGTTTCCCGAAGGGATGTTTGGTTGGCTGTGAATCTAGGAAAGCACTCGCTGCATCGGGGTCGACAGCAGATGCTTGCAACTAAAGGAGGAAGAGGTCAGTCCTACTATGTACACAATATCTATCGGAAAACTACGTGTACGGAAAAGCGAGCGCAGTAAAAGCTGCCATGCATGTCTATACCGATGGTACCTTTCCTTCCCTTCCCAGACGTCGTTATGTAACACATAAAAGAAGTCAATAATTGTTATGGATCGATAAATGGCCGAGCATTTGATGAAATGTGAATAGGAGAGTAGTGGTGAACGTAATCCAAGTTCGCAGACGGCATTATCGGGAGAGTGAAAGCTTTCACGAAGGGTACTTTCAAATTTTAATRAGCTAAAATTCAAAAATAGAACGCAACAAAACGCAACTTCCATTAGTTTAGTTCATACCGCTGAGCTTTTGCTATGCAAGATAGATGCAAGGTATRTCTGTGAATCGCAATTAAGTGTCTTCAGGCTTGAATTTCGACTTCTCGTATCTCRAAGTAGACTTATTCGGTTTTCTTCCAGTAAAATTCTGATATCAGTTGAAGTAACTTTGGGCTTGATTCCATGCATTTCGAAGAAATCGAAGCAACCGAGGAAGCCCCAACCATTGCTGGCACTCCTCATTGTTTACCTACTGGTACTCCTTCAAAGAACAAGGCTRCAAAGGTGAGCAACAAGAAGACTGCGAAGTGAGATCCTACCTCACCAAAACAAAGAAGGCAAGCACTGACAACGTCCTTTCAGCTCTGCAGATCATGATGAATTACCAGGAAAGGACAAAGAACTCTTTCCTTGAAATTGCAAGTCRTACATGGAGAACAACAACAATGGCAGCAACAACAAGGAGAGGGATCTCTTTGTGAACCAGGAATTAGAAGCATTTAGTGATTACATTGATGGCTTTGTGCTATTGTTAACAGWTATAATGAGAAACTATGTGTCAACTAATGCTAATCAATACATCATGTTACACTTTATGCTGCTGTGCTGTTTGCCATGCCGCCTCTATTTTTTGTTGAACACTCCATTTTTTTCTGGATATCCACACATGACTATTACATCATGGCATTATGGGCTCTGCTGACTATGTTACTACAAGTAAAATAACAATTGAAATTACGTTAATTGAGGCATTGGAAACGTTTATTTAACATTCCAAATGTTAGTTTTAATATGCAGAATGTTATAGTATCACCATAGGCCTACATAGACCCCAGTATTACCCACATTCTTCATTTGGTAGTGCGCTACTAGTAGCAACATACAAAACCAATAATCTTAGTCTTGTTTGCTTCCTAAAAAAGAGGAAGAGGAGGACACCTCCCCCACTAATATTCAGACTGTTAAGCAGAGCATTCAGGACGTTAAATTGGAACCAAAACCGCGGTAATCATTTCTACACAGCCTATGCTGCTAACATTCAGAATGTTAAATTAACGTTCCCAATGCCTCAATTACTAACGTAATTCCAAGAATTCTTATTTTGCATATAGTATCCAATATGCCACACAATCTGTCCACTGACCAATTCCATGGGCTTAATGAGAGCATAATGCTTCCCAAGATTGATCAAGGTATTATCTCAAGAACAATTGAGGGCTTGGTTTGGTTGATGGTTTGTATTTTGTCCTTCAGTTGTGTTTGTGGGGATTTCAGTTGGGTTACATGTATCAGGAGTGATGATGTTCACAGTACTAGTAAGTAATTCAATGAGGTTTACTGCTGAGGTGGGCCAAAGGTTTTTCAAGGTTGTCATTTGCAATCTGTGTGGACAGTTGGGCTGAGAAAGGGAGGGGGTGGCCGTTGAGGAGGTGGTTGAGTCAGAAGTTGATAGTGGCAGGGTCTTTGAGGCAAAGGTGTTTGGCTTTGGCACTTGCATGTAGTTTGAGGAATGGGATTYGGTATTTTCTGAGGGCTTGTTTGCTGGTAATGTTTTGTCATGTAATTTAGGGGTACTTCTGTCTTTGGGTTCAAAGGCTTGTTGGCATCAGAGGTTGAGGAGTTTTGGGTTGTCTGGGTTGAGGGTGATGACATGGATGGCATTTGTTATATCCTCCTAGGGCAAATACAGGCAAGACACTATTTCTTTTGAGGAGTACTACCTGGTGGTAAAGGTGACATTGGTCTTTGGCTTGCTGATGGGAGTGGTATTGCCCAGACAGTTCTACTGGTACTGGGGTGGACATGAGGAACAATGGGGATGTTTCTTCTTGGAGGTAGTATTACTAGTCTTTGTGGTGGACATGATGAACATAGTACTATCAGTCTTTACTATGCAATTGGAATTTTGTTGTTTTAAAATTGTCAGATGGTTGTCAACTGCCCAGTTGTTGCATTAAAATAGGAGCGCTTTGATTGCTCTATCACGACATYATGCCTTATCCTACTCTGGCACTAGTAGTTTGCCTAAATCCTATTCAAGAATGAATTCAAGCAGGCTTGTATAGGAAGTACTCTAGTACTATTTTTGTTTGGTATCTGTCTTCTGCTGTTGGTCCACCATTACTTCCTAGTACACTCTAGTAAAAGGTTAACAAAAAAAGTAACAAGAAGAACAAGAAACGTGCATTTTTTKAGCACAAATAGTATGATGACCTACTGCATTTCATACCATTTTGTTTTGTAGTCACTCTGTCAATAATCCTTTCTATMAAAAGATGTGTAATTGAGCATGAGAAAGTAACACCAGAACAAGCATATGGAGAATGCTAATGAYTCACTGATGACCCATTCCTGTGTATCAGGCACAGTTACCTCACAATTAAAATATCATTCCTTTCCAAATAAGATTCTCACCCTAGGAGCTTTCATGGTTTGCTATCATAGAGTGGGCACCCAAATCTAGWATGCACCAGTTGTAGATTTTGGACCCTTATTTTTGTGTGTACTAATGCCTACTTTGACAAAAGAACTAAATATGTACACAATCCATGTGCTCACCAGCAGGAACATTGTCCGTTTCAATTTTGGGGGAAATATGGATTGTCAGGACTCATCTTCCTGCTCCTTACCCTGAACATTGTGATCAATTTTGATTGCAATATTGTAATCAAATTTTTGATCCCTGGATTGTGATCAATTTCAGTTTCAAATTTCTTTAACCAGGGGGGGGGATGCTTTATATTTTGTACTAGTATATGGATTGTATAAAACATTTATATATATCAAAAGTAGTATTTTAAGTATTGTACCTGCCCAGTTAGTGCTACTAGTAGTAGTAGCACTACAACTACTAGTACTACTAGTACATACACCCACCAGTCCAGTATCATATGCTTCACTGGTGCTGACAATGCATATGCCACCAGGAAGTTTTACTAGTAGCTACTAGTACTACTAGTATCACCAGCATGACTATCACATAATTAGTAGTCAATAAACCCAAAAAAAGACTTCAACTGACACATGGTGGGGGGTTCTTTTCCTAGTAGAAAGTGTTGACAGACAAACTTCCACTCTACTATTGTATTTGGTGGCTTGCCATTTTTGTTGGACTTTAGAGATTGACAGTTCCTCCTAGTAGTAAACACAATGTATGGTTATGGTCTTCATTGATCCATCAACTTGTTGAATGCAGGATGGATTGAAGGGAATGCCATGGAAGAAAATACATTTGCTTGAGAAAAAAGTTTTTTCAGGTGATGAATACTAGTTGAAAAACTTTTAGGAGAAAACTTTCAAGGGCATAGTACATAGTAGTAGTTTTTAGTACTACAATATAAAGGAGCAGCAGGGCAGCATACAAATAATTATTTTTTGATAAAACAGTAGTAGTAGTAACAACAAGCAATGGATGAGGTTACTATTTGACCTACTGCTACTAGTACTAGTAGTGGTTGGGATGTACTACTAGCTAGTAAGTGTCAGGGTTGACTCCTGATACTGGCAAATGGGATAGTACATAGTAGTAGCTACTACTAGCTAGTACAATGGAGGGGACAACAACTCCACAGTTAAAAAAATCTTCATGYAGAACTCCACATGTCTCTGGTGGATGAACTCAGCCTTTCCTTTAATTTTGATTGGGTCAATGTGAATGGTTACCAACTACTTGTGACTTCAAACCACTTAGCTGATGCTAGTGGTGTAATCAAGTTCTGCTTGCATGTTTATTCACTAACCACCATTACYCATGATTGTGGAATTACTTCACACATGCTTGTTGTTGTTGCTTTATCAAATTACAAATAGCTAATTTCTGTTGGTTATACATGTATGGTGGTGGTAGAGCTGTTAAAGGCAAGCCCTGTGATATTAAATTGTCCTCAATAGTAGGGAAAAAGAATATGTAAGGACTACTAGTTTTTTCTGTGTGGAGGTGGTAGGAGAGTGGAGGAGAGGGAAAATGGGGGGGAAATGATCATGAAGAAAAATTGACAGCCAAGATTGCCACCAATAACTTGCCATCATCTGTAATCATACTACTACTACTACTACTACTACTAGTACTACTACTACTAGCTAGTAATGGTGTGATTCCTGTTATTGTAGAAATGGTAAATTTGATAGACTGATAGACCAAGAACTTAGCACATCTTTAAAAAAATTCAGCATGTTTTGAATGGGTCAAAGACCCCCATTCAAAATGTGCTACTACTAGTAGTAGTACGAAATCTAGTATTACTATGAGGATGCTGGAAGAACCCACCACGAATGATAGTAGTAGTAGTAGTAGTAGTAGTAGTATCATGGGATTCATTTCTTTAATTTTTTTAGTACTAGCTATACTCTTGAAGACATATGTCACATTGAGGTTAGTGAGGTGCAGGTTCCAATTCCCAAAAAGACTGATCAAGCCTGCATTCCTCACAGTCCCCTTGATAGAAATGCTAAAAGTGCCAAATCTGGCCGTTAAGCGTTATGCAATTCTATTAAAGTTAAAGTGAATCATCCAATAGCTTTGTGGTATCGTACTACAGTACCGTACCATACGACCTACCGTGCCACTTCAAAAGCAAAACATTTTTTGAGCGCGCTATGTCGTGCCGACAGGGCAGGATGGTTTGGATACAATGCAAAATTCGAAAGCCATTCACACATCAGCAAAGCAAGCTAGTTATCTCATCAAGAGGGTCGGTACATGCGTGCACCTCACGCCTTGAAAAGATAAACGATATGGGTGACTTTTTCACACATAACCTCTGGGAAAAAGAGGTAAGGAAATACAACTGTGGAGATTAATGGCGAAGAAACCAAATTTGTCCTTCGAAAATCGTTTCGTCCGATCGTGCYCGACCGAGATTGAATTGGTTGCGCCATTCCAAGCTKTATTTTGTCACATTCTCTTCTGTGATGTTGCGCCATTCGTCCCGTCGTCAACGTTCACARAAAAGGCCTTCTCGTTTGATTTTGTAATCTGTKATACATTAATTAGAAATGATGCAATACAAACTCATTTGAATGGTAATAGACGCTGCCTTCTGAGTACTTCGTGTTTCAACTTCTCACTACTCGCTACATTCCCGCAATAAAATGAAATTCATTCAAAATACTATGAAATAACGCACGGCGGGACGAAGTAGCCCGATTTTGCCAGAGACTACAACGAACAAGGAGGAACTGCCGACGCACAAAGCGAAGAAAGTGAAACCACTTTTTATGGAGCTCAACACGTAATTGCCCTCGTGGATTGCCATCCGGATATGTTTCAAGAAGGGAAACACAGGATAAAGGCCAAATACGAAAGCGAACGGAATGAAGAAATCCAAAATTTCACCGACAACAGTGAGAGAGCACCAATCCATTTGTCCATCAAACTCATCCAGAGCCTACTCCAGCAAATAATAGAACAAACTGTAATACGCAAAATTGGAAAGCGAAACGGGGTGGGACTCTTATTTTACAACACAAGAACAATACATAAAAATWCCRGRGATAGAGGTCAGAAAAATAGCAAGAAGAGCGAAGAGGACAGTGWAGAKGACGACGACGATAAGATGGATGACGAAGAGGACGAAGAAGAGGACGAAGTGAATGATGACGATGTGCTCGTAACACCACGGCCCGAAACGACCGTCCATAGACTTTTGGATTTAGAACCACCGGGAATTAGACACGTGCAGACCCTTCGAAAASTAGTGTCGGATAACCATCCGCAACGACAAACGAAGCTAGATCGCGACTTGCGTGCCGAATTTTGTCCTCTRCATGATGAACCTCATCCAGCCATTGCCCCTCTACAAATAGCGCTCGAGGAGGCAACAAGGATGTTTCTGAGTGCGAAATGCGTTCGTGATCGSAATGCAAGAACCAAGGAAAATGAGCGTGATACGAAATCAATTTGGGTGTTTACCAACCAAGCGAATCCGTATTCTGATGAACGAAAGAAACGGATTGAAAACATAGCCAACTTGGCCAAGGAACAAGACATTTCAATCGTTGTWTGGCCTCTTGGAATTCATTCGAACACCGAAGATACTCACGGGAACGGCGATGTTAAATCATTTGATCCTCTTTTTTTTGGTTCGATTGCATCTAGAATCGTTTGGCCYCTGAATGATGAGTCTTMTTTTGAGTCGACAGAATCGTGYGGCCAGCGCCTTRTATCCGAGGACATGATGAAAAATGCACTAAATGACATCCATGATGTGGCCAAAATTCGCCGTACGTATTATGGACCAATGCACATTTTGCGCCGAGGAAAGGCRCACTCTCAAAATAAACCTTCTATTATGATCGATTGGTACTCTCTCGTTCAGTTCTCTAGGAGGCCTGGGAAAGTCCAAGTTAATACKGAGACCAAAATGTGAGTGTTCAGGTGAGGAAGGAAAACACTTTGAATCGAAAAAACCAACGTAAAATCAGAGGCTGATTGGTTCTGTATCAAAYCCACTGAGWATTCGGTAGGTTGATACAAAACCAATATGCTGATAAGTATTTTACTCGCATTGTTTTCTAATCGTTTCCTTTTCTCATSTTACTGTTTCACCATCGATAGAGAAACTGTGAAAATCCGATWCATCCTGGAGAAAGACACCGGGAAAGAYGTTGCACGTTTTTGGAACAAACCCACGGCTGAACAACGGGAGCATCAGCGAAGCCAATCAGGTTTGCAGCGCATTCGTCACTTTTTCAACTTTGCCAACGAGCTTGTTCCAATTACACAACAAGATATTGTGGGAATKAAAGAAAATGCCAATGGTGGGTAYACCCCTGGCCTAACGATATTGGGATTCAAACCGAGAAACGCGATTCCTTTTCATCACACAATTTCAAAGCCATTCGTGATATTTCCAAACGACGACGTTGTGAAAGGGAGTTTTACAGCTTTCAAGCATTTGCATGCTGCAATGTTGCGCAAGAATGTCATCGGTGTGGGCGAAGTGTTGCACAGASAAACCTCCCAATCAAGACTGGTTGCGATTTATCCATTTGAAAGGGCAGATTACATGCCAGACGGCATGTACGTAATAACCCTCCCATTCGAAAATGATATGCGGGCAGTTGCCCCCGATGCTGCTTCGATGGAGTTTAACCTCCAACAAAAACGGGACGAAAAAAAATCTGAAGTTGAGACGGCCTATAAGCAGAATGAACCTGAAATCATTGGCAGCAACGGAAATGCTGGAATTCCAGGTGCTGGTAACCAGCAYCAAGAGAACGAATTGGGYAGTATTGCATCCGAGGAGCTCGTTSATGCAGCAATCAACTTAATGGGTCCACTAGGTCTAACTAAAGCGGAGGTGGGAGTAGATTTTGAAAATGCAGCGCTTATGGAATTCTATTCCTATCTGAAAAGTGTAGCATTCGATTCACCTCAGGAAGAAGCAAGATAYGATACACGAAACTTGAGTGACACGGAATTTGCTGCGGAAGAAATCGATGCTTTCAAATCACTCCTACCAGCTGATGCCGAGCAGGAGAGGCCCACGCTTTCACGAAAACGAGCGAGAAAGATTGTTCCGGACGATTCTGGGATTGATTGGGACGAATTGTACAGGARAGATGAAATCGATACCTGCAAYATGGACATGTTGAAAAAATACCTTCGGTCTGTTGGACTCTCGACCTCCGGAAGAAAGAATGACCTCGTGTTGCGCGTTGCCAGTGCTTTGGCTGAGAAATGCTCACATGGCACAAATATCTTCGCCGCGATGGAGCAGGGTGTTGTCAAGAAAGAAGAATCGATGATTGGGAGAACGATATAGTGGTCCCACAAAGCGGTATGAAATTATGATTAACATCTATGTTGGWGTTTACAAGCCTAAATTTAGTGGAAAAGAAGTGGAGCCTTGAGAATAGTAATGTGTSGTTCGGTAAATCAATGTGCACCGCTTTTGGTCTCATGCGTCGTAGGTTCACGCTGCTTCTGTACCATCGCCGTTTTCCGACGCGCTGTCATTCAAGAGCGACTTTGCATTGCCCTTGGATGGCGAAAAGAATTGTTGCTCAGCCTGGGCGAGCTCGTTCAGAAAACTGCCCCATGTGTCCACGGATTGTTCGTCCTCCTGTTTTGGCGGCGGAGGATCAGGGTTGCTCTGTTCCATTCTCTTGCTTCTTCGCTTGAATGCAGGTTTCTTCTCCTCTCTTCTCTGCTGCCCTATGGCTGCCAGCTGGTCGTACATTTGAGCCAAAGGGGTGTGGCTGTATTCGTTCCGAGAGGCGTTCGTGGCTTTGAACAAATCCGAGTCTCGCTTCGATCTCGCACTTTTGCCGTACTTGCCCTCCGTTTCGTCTATTACGTGGGGTTTGTATTGGATTCCGGGTGCCAGAGTACTCTCGTCGTCGGGATGCTCCTCGTGGTCGATAAAGTGATACTTGTTTTTGTCACGAGAACTACGGCGTTTCGACAAATCCGGTTGGTGGAGAATGCCTCTTCCCTCGTTCACGATTTCGGTGCGATCGCGCCGACGGATGTCCTGGTCGTAAACGTAATTCGACAGGGGTGACAATTCCTTCTGTTCTTTCTTTTCACGTGTTCCACCAGTCATTGACGTGTAAGAGGTATACAGAGACTCGTCGTCGGATCCGACAGAATCCGATTCCGAACCMTGCGGAGAACCAAACATGCTTCCGGGTGACAAATTCTGAACAGCATCCGAGATCAAAGAATGACCAGTCGACTGCCCCGACGGAGTTTGTTCCTCTGGAGGAACAGGAGTTTCGGATCTGCTTTGGGATTCTGCGTTTTCGTAAGCAGCTACCTCTGTGATTTCCTCAGTTTCCGTTTCTACGATATCCGATTCCTTTTCCWCGGATTCTTCGATWGTTGYTTCCGTTTTGGGAGGGTGAGYGTAATTGCTTGCTTTTTTCAGCTCGAATTTTTCTGTGGGGTTGTTCGTCTCCRATGAGGACGGAGCAGTTCCCATTTGCAACAGAGATCCCCAGGTCCACTGGTTGGAATCTTCCATAGGAGGCGGCGGTGGCGGCGGAATGTCGTCGTCGTCGTCGTCACTCAGGTAATGGTTKTCGTGTTCGCTACCGATGGCAATCTCCAAAGACTTGGATCCCGGAGCCCTTCTCTGCGMTTCCTTGTCGAATGCATTCCGCAAGTTGACGGCTTCTATGGAAGGATCTTCGATATCGTGAACTTTTCCCGCAACAACCATTGCGGATGCTTCCTCCGGGAGCTCTTCGATCGATGCCAGGGTGTTGACCGTGTTGGGAGTATCCGGGAGGCTGYTTTTCTTCTTCTTCCGTTTCTTCTTGTTGGGGGGCGTTCCCCGTGTCGGCGCCGATGGGCTGCTTCTCATCTCGACCTCGATGCCGTCTCCGTTGAAACTGTCACTGATTTCGTTGCTAAAACGGTCCGWMTCGCCTTCGTCCGAAATTCCCGCGGAGCAATCGTCGATGATTTCCACAATCATCTCTTTGCCCTCCGATGGCTTTTTTCGCTTCTTCCGCAGGATCGCAAAGATGACGATTGGGATCATCAAGACGCACAAACCGGCCATAGCGGCACCAATGTAGATGGGCGTGTTGCTGGAATCTTCTTTTTTGGCAGCCTGCTGGTCGACAATCGATGAGGGTTCGTCGTTGTTCTCGTCGCTCAAACCCGTTCCCCCTTCGTCGTCATTGGTCGCTTCGTCCTGTCCTTCCGAGGAGGCCTCGTCCGCACCCGATGCKGGGCTCGATGCGACCGSCACCGGTGCCACGGCCACGGGGCTTTCTGCTTTCGAGACGGGCGACTCCGTTGGAGCCGCTGTCGTCGTTGGTGTTCCGGTAGGAGTGACGGTGGGTCCGARAGTGGGAGAAATCGTTGGAGCACCGGTTGCAAAGTTTGCAACCTCCAAGGAATTGATCCTTCCATAGATATCACCRTAGTAGAGGTTGTTCCCGCTTTCYGTGACGGCAAAATCTGCCTCCACKGCGTCCTGGCACAACTGAYTGCTAATGTCGGCACAGCTGTAATCCCAATAACGCCGCCCGTTGTAGAGGTCGTGCTGGCGAACGCGTCCATTCTGGGTCTCGATCACGTATACCACCTTCGCCCAGCCGTCTCCGGCYTCGAAAATTCGAGGCTGGGCCAGGACCTGGCTGCCCTGGTTGTCCCTCCACRCCTGTCTTCCGTTTTCGGTTTGGATGCCGTAAACATCCGAGTCGACACCCGCAACGACCAGCAATTCGCCCTCCCGATCCAAGACGGGCTGGCTACGGATGGCTKCACACGCAGAATGGGTTTGGTTGTGAAAGTTGGCGATTGGTCCGTGCCACAACAGTTCATAGTGTGAGGATCACGATGCAATGCGCTCCAGGCAAAAGTAGCTAGATTGTTCCATACAGTACAAAGAGAAACGAAACGAAACGAAACGAATCAAAACTCACGCTGGGAGGCATTTCGTGGATTCGGTGCCACCTGGAGGTTCCATCGGGGTTCGATGTCTCGCTCCCGCCCCGAGGTGATTCCCGACAAATCGCTCTTGCGATCCCCRGTGAAGCCACCGAGGGTTCCGGCCGCGGCCCCAAGGTAGATCGAGTCYCCGTAGACCATGGGCGGGGAGCTCGCGCTGAAGGACCAGGAGCTGATCCGGACCAGTCCGTAGTTTTCGGATGCGTCMGTCGGCCTCGACAATTCCTCGTTGCGGTCCTTGCCGTCGGCATTGGTAAAGGCCGACACATCGGAGGACAGCATGTACAGGCCGCCCCTGTCGTCCGAAAAGCCGGAATCCCAGTTTTGGGCCACAATCACCATGTCTTCTGTGTCGCCGTCGCCCTCCTCCTCTTCCCAGTACATCGGCTTCCGGAGCGCCGGTGGTCCCAGGGGAACCATTCGGCCCCGTTCGGCAGCGGGAGGAGTGACCGTGGCCACAACGACGGGAGTTCCGTCCCCCGGCTGGAGCCTGAGGACCGAAACGTTTCCCAGGCCATTGTCGTTGTGGGTCACGTAGATTCCGTCCCTTCCCACGAGGGGCTTTCCCTCGATCCATCCGGGAACCTCGACGCTCCAGAGGAGAACTCCGTCCATGCCAACGGCCAGAACACGGCTCGTGACGCCGTCGCCCCTGTCGACGACGCCCGAGTTCATGATCCCCGCTTCGAAGATTCCAACGTCCGGGAGGATCGTCTTGTCCACCACCGCGTAGACGACAAAGTCCACGCCGTTTCGCACGGGCGTTGCTCCTTCTGTTTCGGAGGAAGCGTAGAGCCCGGCCTGCTGGTTCTTCTCGACCACGGTGGSTCCCGATCGACACTCCGTCTGCCTCCCGGAGAGYTCCTCCGGAACAAAGACCGCGAGRGTCTTGACCTGGTTCGTGGTTTGGATCACGTGGAGGCTTCCGTCATCAGCGGTAGCCACGATTTTYGTGCCGTCGCCGTGGGCCACGATGGCGTTTCCCTTGCGCAGGCCGCGGCCACTGAGACGCCCCGATCCCTCCAGCTGGAGCGACCACTTCAGGGTCGGTGCGGCAAAGAACTCGGCGYTGCCTAGGCACGACAGCAGGAAGAAAGCCGTGGCCGCCGCCGCGATGGTTTTTGTGTTCGTCTTCCCAAAGGCCATTGTGGTCCCGGATTTGTGTCAACTGAAATGGAATTGGATCGGACTGGATCGGATCGGATTGGATTGCAACAGGGTGGAATCGAATGGATTTTTATTCGGTCTGGGTCGAAAGTTTCGAGTCGAATGAGACGGGATGATGGGATCGGATCAAGGCGTTTCCTCCTTCTCCTTGGYTCTGCTGTTGTGTTCGGATCGACGGCAACCAGCCTTTCTGAGAGATTGATTGCAGTGCGATAGAGTCGATCCGGGTGTTTTTCGGAGTCGCGAATGGTTTTCCTCAAAGACTCTTTTTTGTTGTAGTAGTGCTTGTTGTTGCTTGCTCTCGGCAAATGTTGATTGATTGCKCGTTGTTTCTCTGACTCGGGTTTCTTGGGATTTCCTCTACTTTTTYCTCTCTTACCGCAATGTATCACTCTTCAGCACGTACTCGTACTCGTACCCGTGCTACCATGCATCATATACAACATAGAGTGGAACGGAGTATGCCCGCGTAAAAATCCCCGCGAGCACGATGCCCTTAAAAATCTCCAAAAATCGTCCCGAGAAATTTTTGGACCAGCTTCGTCGAAATTGAGTCCTATCGTATCGTGCGTGCCTGTACTTACGGTACTGTACGGTACTGTATCATATGGGATGCGGAACCCAAAGCGAATCGTACATCTTGTGATTGCCGTAGGTGGAGTACGACGCGATGTTCCCGCTTTCCGTCGAGTCGAGGGTACCAAAATGTGACACGGGATCGGCATGCTCATCAAATTGTTGTCTCACACGACTGCATTGCCAAAAATAGCCCTGTGGACTCTTACAATTAACGGGACGAAGATTTCGGCATCAAACAAAATGTCCTGTCAAATTACTAGTATCATGCGACAGGAAAGTGATTCCCGAATAGATAACGCCCACGCCACCATGCCATGCATGGCAAATGGCAACCCCATAGCATGGTCGCACGTAAGTTCACGTACGAGCTGTACTTGTGAGACTGAATTGCTAATTCCTACCGTACGGTACGAAACACGATACGCTAACCTGACGAAAAACCTTGAAGTATGATATGGACTTACAAAACATATGATACTGACTCTTTTCTTCACAAAGTACGATACTTAGAGCGCAGTACTTGTACGTACTCGTACTCGGTACTCGTACTCGTACTTTGGTTGGTATCATACGTAARAGACTACCGTACGTATGCCACCCTTCTCAGTTCTCGCGTACTTCCTACCGTTACAATTTTGAAAAAATGTGTGGAGGAATGATTCGATCAACCTCGATCCAAAAACATCAAGCMTCCTCCCGTTGCATGGTTCCTCGCGGAATGGCACCAACAAACGACTAGAGAACGCAGTCCAAGGYATCGTTCCGGTCGATCATCGACYCRGATCTCTCTCCGGTATTCCCTCCGATACGATACATCCACTGCCTCGCCTAGACCAACAGACACCACMACGTTTGCACCGCCCCGGCTACAAGAGTTCGGACCACAACATGACTCGCCACCGGTGTTACACCCGGATGCCGGTGTTTTGGATCGCCTTGTCGTGGATTTCTCTACAGCAGCGCGTTCCTTTCAYTCGTGCCTTCCGGCCGTCGAGAACAACTGGAAGYGCGGGGTTGCCGCTCGTTACGGAMACGCGAGCGCCATACTCGCCGGCAACAAGAAAAGCACCGGCACCTTCCACAACACGAACTGTATCCACGCGTACGCGTACGAGAACTTGTGCGAGAACTTGTGCGAGCACCCGYCGCTCGTCCCCGTCGCTGCTGGCCGCAACCAACAACGTCTACGGGAAGGGSGCAGATATCTGGCCMGAACCGAGCAACGATGTCATCGATCTCTCGCAGTCCTTCCCCAACGGCATCGTCCCTTATTCTGCCGTCATTGCCATCGAACAGGACGACATGGAAGCCATGCGACAGCAGGCCCGGTCGCCGGAYGACAAGGAGGGCAGCAGCGCYGCCGGGCATCGCACCCGCACCAGACACTACATCCGGCGAATCCTGAGAATGGCGGCTTCCAAGGAGGAACTCGAGAACGAGGGCGAACACGCGGKGTCGATGGGCAGGCTCCCCATCGCCGTYGGCCTTTCCCTGCTCCTGGGGGGCCTCGTGCGCCCCATGGACGTGGCCCTGGTAGCCTGCTGGACGGCCTACCTGACCATCCTGAACATGACGGCGCAATCGCCCAGGGACCTCGGGGGAGCCCCCGTGCTCCCGGCCGTTCCTCCCCAGGGCCACGTGCCCTCCGTGCTCTCGAACCCGATGGGCGTCCGCTTCGGCGAGAGCGCCCTCTACCGGCGGTGGCTGGCCCTGGGGGCTTGGCTCGGCCTCCTCGGTCCGATCGCCTGGCTGCTGGTGGCGACCGCCGTCCTCCCCTCTCTGGGGCCGGGCAGAGCGGGGGTCGGCCTCGGGGACGCCCGGGCCGTAGCGAGGCCCCTGTTTTTGCTGTGCTGCCAGGCGACGACGGAGGCCGTGGCGAAGCGAAACCTGGTAAGCGACGCRACGCGACGCAACGCAGGAAACCGAGCAAGCCTCTGGCACGGCGGGGCGAGACGCCCGGRCAAGCAAAACAACCCGCGAGCTTGCGCCTCGATTCGCAGGGATCGGAAGCGCACGCTCGTCGCCGAGTTTGGGGGCAAGCCACGCTRCGGATTGGATCGGAATCGGAATTTCTCTCACCGCGTCGTTTGCGTTTTCTCTCTCTCTTCGCTACAGATAGCACTCCCACTCCGCGTTCTGGTTCCTATACTCTACAATGCCTCGCGGTTGATTTATCTGTGGTCCTGGGCGACCTCGACCGCCGCTACAACCACCGCGGTGTCCAGGGTTGGGCGGTGCCTCGGCATTGCTAATTTTGCGTACTGGGGCATCAACCTCTTTGCCTTTTTGATACCGATCGCWTCGATCCGTTACATGCGGGCCCATTTCTTTGGAGTGGAAGCGGAAGAGGTGACCACCCGGCCCGGACTGGAAGAAACCGTGGGGATTGTCCCAAACAACATTCTCCTACAATGACGACGGGACCGCTTGCTAAAGCTTCCGTTTCGTTTTTTCGGTTCGTGCCGCACCCTGCCGTGCGTGGGATGAACATCATCCTTCGGGATTGGCGGCATTCTGGGTGGTGCGTGCAACAGATTGTGCGCATTTCTGGTAAAATGGTTTGGCAAACATAGCTAGTACAGTAATTGCTTTTCTCCATYGTCAACACATTGAAGCTACTAAAACCAACCGAAAGATGTATGGGGTGTCTCGACTCGATATTGAATTCTCATCATGTAATTTTTAGCTTATAGTTTTGTGGTTGGTGACAAATCTGATGTTGTTGGATCATGATAATACTACTCTAAGTSCATCTGAACTACTATTACTACTAGTACTATCGCAATGGGAGAACGAGGAGTCCACGGACGGAAGAAGAAGGCATTAGGTAGCAATGTCGCCACTGTCCAACGCACCCCTTTTAGACGGAAGAATAAAATCAAATGGTGATACTAACAGCTCTTCCTATTAAGGAGAAGCCCTCCTCAATCCAATAGGGCTGTGTGTGWGAGATGTGGCCACCAGCAACAACAACCTCATCTTAMAACTGTGAGGCACAGAGGTACGAGTACGTACTTCTACTTGAGAAATTTCAAATTTCTACTGACATACTACCCTTCATAGTTAGTACCTCTACATACCGGTATGTGCGTGACTATCGCTTGTACATTTTGTGCACAAGGCACGTAGGTACGTACTGTTCTGTAGCACTACGTACMGGCCGGTACTACGCGAAAGAACGAGCGGACTTCGCTCTSAGTGGGAAACAGAAACCATCACCCGGGCATCAGGCTCAGAGCAGGGCCAAGSTTCGCCCACGATGGCGTTTCGAAGAAGCGACACAATCCGCAAGACACGGGGACAAACCAACCACACCGCTCGAGCCCGCGGCACCCGCTCTGCCCATCGCACAATCGCAGATTTCTGCAAGTGTGTGTATCCCATCCAACACAGCTGTAGACCATGTCGTTCCTGAAGAAGCCGACGGCATCGGCTGCGACAATGGCATCGCTGGTTTCGGCGAGCCGGCATCGGATCGCTTCCTCCCTGCCTCGAACGACCACGAGGGCGAAATCGTCGGCGGTCGCATCTCCGGCATTGTCGAGATACGGACTCGGAGGACAGCACTGGAGGCAGTTCAATCCGGAATCGTACCAAGAACTGATACACCAAGCCCTGTCCAAGAACGTCTCGTACTTCGAGGTGGCCGGTCAGGAAGGGGGCGACATCGCCATGGCGGGAGCCATCCAGAGTGCGCTGGAGCGCAATCCCGGTTTTTCCTCTTCTCCCATYACCATCACCGCTCGCCTCGGATATCGAAGCCTATCCGACGGCCCCGCTGCTGGTCCGGGAGAAGGAGAAGGCAAGGTCGATGCAGCAGCAGCACCCGGCGATAACCAACCGATGCCCGGAGATGTGCTGCTGGCACCCCCTCCGGAAGACGGGACGAAGGGGAATGCGGGCGTGGCAGCAGCGTACGACACACCGCAGAACGTCGTTCACAACCTGTCCTCCGAGTATGTATTGCAGGCCGTCCGGTCTTCCCCGCTGTTGGAACTCCAGGAAACAATGGAGAACGTGAGACTCGTCTTTCTGCTACACAATCCCGAGGTCCAGGTTGTGGAGTTGCTCCAAGAAGATCCCAACGCAACGGCCGAAGCACGACAGGAATTCATCCGGCAGCGCTGGACGCCCGCCATGGAAACCCTCCAGGAATACTCGTCCAACGGAACGGGCGTTTCCTTCGGAGTCTGCAGCAACGGCTTGGGAATACCGGATGTCGACAACCATCCCATGCACCTGGGCACCRACTCGATCGTCCAAGCGGCAAACGCCTACGATCGGTTTTCGACGGTCCAGCTGCCCGCGAACCTCTTGGAGACATACGGTTGGGAAATGGCGAGAAAAATCAAGGCGGAAACACAACAACAGAGGGAATCGTTCGGAGCCGTGGACGTGGTAGCAATGAGGCCCCTGACGTGCTACCCGGATCTGGGGACGGGATCGGGATACCCCTTTCGACTGGTGGACTACGCCCTGCCGGCAYTCCAAGAAAATGATTCGGTCGCGGGAGACGGCGGCAATCCTTCCCTTTGCTATACCAACGACATGGAGGGCATCCCTGCCTTGTATCAAATGACGCTCCAGGCCGCAATGTCCCATTTCGATGCCGAAGAGCTTCTGGAAAAGAAGCAAGAGCGGGACCTTTCCATGGAGGAGCGAGAAACACTGGATGGGTGCAAGCTGATGCAGAGCATGATCCACGACCTGGACAATCAGCTGGCCGACATTCGATCCTTTGCCGCACACGAAGACGAGCTCTACGGAAGAATTATTCCTCTGATACACGATACGTTCGAACTGATGGACGACACGACCTCGGATGTTTTGCAGGTAAGTTGCAACGTACGGCACGGCGTGGCACAACCATCCCATCGAGATAAGGAGAGTTGTGCTGCTATTTTGATTTGATTTGATTTGAATCGAATCGAGTTGCACTTGCACCGCATCACACTGCAACAAAAACTTCAGATTCCAATAATATGGACCGACTGATTTGTGATTTTTGTGTTTTCAAAACGATTGTTTGATGAAACAGGCATACTTTGCTGCTTATGCTGTTGCGGTGCGATACGCAATCGCGACCAAGACACGAGAGGTCCTCAAGGGAGGAGAAGAAACAGGCAACAAAGCAAGCGGCGGCACCGGGAACATTACCTACCCCGATATTCCGCAAACGATGACGCTCCAAGAGTATGCKCTGCGACACATGTTGGTGGAAAGATGCTTCGATCGCATCGCGATTGGTGCCTCCACGATGCAAGATTTCGACCACGCAACCCAGCTCATGGAAACCATCGACTCGGGAGAGGAGCATCCGCTGGGGAAATTGCTCTCGGTGACAGATGGACAACCCGAAAACGAAACAAACGACGGTGGGAAAAGCAATCATTAGCGAACCATCGCGWTGCTGCATTGCCAAATTGTTTTGCACCAAAACAAAAATTGGAATGCCACTTTCGAAGCATAGGCTGAGYTCCTCTGAGAATCCAAAACCTGCCTACAACTGTCACGCTCTTTCTTCGTGAATTCGAATGCGACTTTGGAACGTACTATAAATTATTGCAGTTGTGCTATGCGAAGAACGTAGCTCRTAACGTAGCTCACCATYTCTATTATTTTAACGTGGGATATTGTAAAGCAAGGAGRAAGGATGTTGGTTTCTGGCATTGTTTAGTCGAAGGAACCGTTCTGTCACGTAATCCGTTCGAAGGTTATTCGAAAACTCAGAAAAAAATGGGAGATTGCTCCACAGGTTGTTATTGTTTCCTCCAATGATAGGTGKATATGCGTATGGCGATGGTTGTATRGATTGCATCGATTGCGTCGGTGGGTTCTGAAGTGCAACGTTCCRCACGACACCATTCATGCCGAGATCAGAAGAGGGCAGGTGCTGWTCGTTGTAGAACCGCAACACATCAAATGAGTTAGAGGKYGGGGTCGGATGTAAGTCCACCATCTGTTTCTGGAGATTAGAATTGTTCCTTTGGCGACCCATTCCTTTTTGTYGGAGGCAAGCAACAAGCCCCTCTGCGTTWTGCTGGCTTTTTCGTTCCACTTYCACCATTAGTGGTGCTCCTTCGGTTGTGCCCCCGTTTCTCCGAACTTGCGATGCTTGTGATGCAATAATATTGCTAGCTTGTCCAAGATGAGAAACAAGTGATCTTGGAATAGGCAAAGCCAAATCAACATTTTTGGAGAGCACGATTTTCTCGCTCTCGACATTGTCTTGTTCTTCTCTTCCTTTGGTCCATCGTCCATTCATTTTCTGCCTGTTTGGATCTAATAGATTGCGCAAAATAAACGATCGATTACGCAATGCTTGGCTTGTCTTCCGCTTTGCTACGGAGTCACCGATGTCATAGTAAGTTCCATCGGAACTGCGTCGGAGGAAACGTCCACCCCCTTCGCGGATCATTTTCACAATCCGGTGGGATATTTCTGGTTTCATCATCTTTGACGCCTTTTCGTAATTTGAGCATTGAGATAAAATTAGCATCCTGTAGTGACGATTACCAGGATGAAGATTTGTTCCTCCACCCCTACCGCTCAGAACATCCTTGTCTGTATAGTGTGGTATCTTGGTACCATCTCTTCGTTTGGTGTCATTTTCGGTACCATCGGATGAACTTTCCTTTTTGGCGTTACTTTTTATGGTTGATGTCAACATCGTTGGGTTCATAATCCTTTTATTCTTTTCGTCACCAACACATAAACCGACCTCATTCTCATAATCGCCGCAATTATTTTTTTCTCGTAATTGTTCTCTTGTCTTCCATGGGAATAGAATTTGWAGTTCACAGTCCTTTTTGCTCATATCGAAATTGGCGTTCATATGGTTGTAGTGATTAAAAAATGTATCTTCACTGTTCTTAAAGTTGTTGATTGTCATCAGAGAACTGCACTGATCTTCTTCGGCTATCATATTTTAATCGAGAAGTGCAACCAAGAAACTTCCTACTCCACTTTGAATTCGAGGCAGCGTTTCTTTCGATCGCTCTTATTGAAGGGGGTTTCGAAAAATTGTGAGTGAAACGGGAGAAGCATAAAGCAAACACGATTGCCAAATTCATTTTTCATACGATTGAGAACGTTTACAAMATCACGATTCTGTACGTGTAGTTGTTTTGGTTTTAGGTTAAGTAATAACAATTCACKTGTAGAAGATGAGAAATCTCGGGAGAATTGTGTCCTAAATAAAACTACTACTACTTTACTCGTTGCTTTCACTCTGCGCACYAAGGGAAAGCTAAAGTTTTGTAGAAATACTAATAATAGAAGTAATACTCAGTACTAGAGCTAGTACTACTGGTACAAGCAAATGTGATTCTGACAAGTTATTTGCAATTCCTGTGCAAACACCAACAAAAATGCATGGAGGTGAGCCTGTTCTAGTAGTAATGATAAATGACTGTCAGTACAACAAGAATGAGAAAAACTGTTAAAATTGGCATTCAACTTCTGAAGAAATTCTGGTGTGGAAAATGCTTGTGCTGGCTGGGGACTGCACCAGGATTTTTCCACAAGATGGTGAGGAGAGTATTTCACCTAGTATTGCTGTGCTGCATAAATTTTCAGAAACTGAATTTCATTTTTACTGTCATCATGGAAAGAAGTACTAGTATATAACAATGGCAGGAACCGCAGCACAATGGTGGGAATGGTGGGACTACTAAGTACTACTAGCATTTATAGCATCAATTCCAGCAGGTCAGCAGCATGAAAATCCTCTGCTCCAAGTGGCCCATCAAGATTGCATCATGTACTCACAATTTTGGAGACCTTTGTATTTGCCAGGAGCATGATACTACTTCTTCATATCACCAGCAACTTGTAGTAGTAGTATCAGCATCCTCTGCCATATCAGCATCTTGCACTGGTGAGGTACCAGCCTCCTTTGCATTTGTCAGTATCCTACAACATATCGCCAACTCATAGTATCCTCAGCAGTGTCCTGCCTAGTACATATCACGACCAAGAAGAAATTGTATCAGCAGCATCCTGGTACTACAAGAAGTAGGTATCACCAACTCACATGAGGAGTGTCCTCTGGTGGTGTAATTTCCACCAGGAGGGTCCTCATGCGCATTTGTCAGGAGTGTCCTCTGTACTATCAGCAACTCATATCAGTATCACTTGTAGTACTATGAGCATCAATCGTATCAGTGTTACTACTSATACCATCAACATCTGCACTTGTTGTTGTATCAGAGTTACACATTTTATTARCTTCACTCTGATCACCACCAGCTTCACTCATTTTAATGCCACTCATATAGTAATCAATGCCACTCATAATACTATCAGCACATTTGAAGTAACTTGTAGTAGTA